TGTTGCAGTTGCATGTTTGGCTTCCACGGCAAGTCGGGTGGGAGCCGATTCATGAAGCTGGAACTGCCCTACTTCTGCCATCCTGGTATTGGCCCACGGGGGGTGGAAGCCCCCGCTGGGCACATTTGACTTGCGCTTGGAAGATCCCCGATCTCTGCTTCCACGGTGGGGATTTCTTTTATCGCTGGTCAAAGGGCAAATCAGGAGGCTCGAATGGCAAGCCCCACTTGCTGGAAGTATGCGGAAGATAGCACAAGCTCCAAGATGTGTTTATAGCAGTACCTTCCCCATTCTTTCCAGGGATCCTTTTTTTCGGGAAGCCATCAAAAACCCAGGGGAAACAGATCCGGTTTTTGAAAAGAATGATCGTTGAAAAGAATGGACCAGGAATCAGTCCCTAGAGAAGCAAAAATATGGAAAATATGATGAAGAATCAACCCCTAGAAACTTGGCTGGAATTAGGACCCCGGCAAAAAAACATTTGTTTGCCTGGTCAGTGGAAAACAAAGAAGACCCCAAAAAAGAAGAATCAGCCCGGACTTTCTTTTTTTATTCGCCTCGGCGGACACCGCCGACACCGAAGAACACCGCAGGCGCTGCGCCTTGCCCACAGGCAACGATGTCACGCCGGCAAGGACTGGGGCCGGAGATTCGAAGGAGCTCACGTGATGATTTTCACACACGGCCCATTGGATTTGATTCCATACTTCCGGTAAAAAAAAACAAAAAGACGGCTGGGAGGATGAGGGTCGCTTCAAAGTTCCACAAGTCCGGTTTGGACCTTTGCACAAAGCACACCGTTGAACCGGCGCAAGAGATGACCAACACCCAAAGATAAAACACGTTGTGTGACCCAAACATGCCAACCACATGACAAAAACCAGCCACTTGGACACCCTTCAGCTCTGTTATTTTTTGTGGAGGTGTCGGATTTCCGTTTAGCGCTGGAGCGATGGGGCGGGGAGAGGAAGGAAGAGAGAGAAATAGAGAGAGCGAGAGCGCCCGAGCGAGCGAGCGAGCGAGCACTGGGCTTTGGTTTCTCCGATAAAGGGCAAAGCTAACCCTGTAGCCCATGGTTTTTGAGCAACCTTGTTGAAAACTTCATTGCCAGACTTAGCCCAGCTATTGGCCTGGTTCCCTTTTGGGTGTTCTTTGGTTTCCTTGTTAACCATCATGTTATGTTTGTTGGCAGGGGGCGAAGCGTGCCCAAAACTTGAAGTTGCATGATCTTGCGCAGGTCGCGGCGCACGTGGTGATTGCATTCTGGCTGCCAGCAGTGCAGCGTTGGTACAGCCTAAGCGCCTGCAGGGTTGCCACGAAGCTATGGGTTCTGGAGGCAACTGGAGCAACCCTGGGCAATTCGGCCAAGGTAAGGGGTAAGGTAGCTGACACAGTTTCCACCCAAGTGCGTGCATAAAAATTATAATCCAAACCTTTGCAAAAGCAAGCGCAGTTGCCAATATTGGTGAACAGTGCAGGCCTTTCGGTGCGTCTCGGGGTAACATTCCCATGCTTCCTTTTCGTTGCCAGCCACTTGGCCAAATGCGTTGGTCATGGGGTTACGGATGCTGAGCCCCTTATAGCCAGCCGCCCCCCCTAGCTGCGTTTTGTTTTCTTCTTTTTTTCCTGCCGGTTTGTCCAATCGACCAACCCAGCACAACTAGGTCCCCCAGTAGTGCCCTTTCTCACCCCTTTTCTGGTTGGAAGGGTTCCCCTACTAAAATAGACTGTAATAGACTACAGAAAAAAGTTGGTTCCAACTTATTCTAACCTCTCAAATCTGGAGGACCTAGACAAACGAGGCGGACCATAGGGGCCCTGCATGCAGCCACCTCGACAGGACCTTGGTGCTGAAGCAGGCGGTCAAAGAGTGCAAGCGCCTTTGCTTCCAGCTGGACTGACTGCTTTTTCCGGTACAGTTGGGTTTATATACTGCAAAATGCAGTTACAATGATCCACACAAAACACAGTTGCCAACAAATCGTTTGTTTTTGAGGCTTGGTACCCTTTGTTGGGACAGATTAAAAGGACACCAAAAGGGACAGCCGCGTCCTACTTTGACACATGCCCACTACGCAGCGGGTGGGTGAATCAGGTAGATGGCGCGAGTCCTTTCATGTTGGCTTAATTATTCCGAAAGCTGGTTGGTTTCCTTCTTGTTCGCTGTTTGAAACCCACCTAAAGATACGTTTTGCCCATTTGGAACTTGGCTTTTTCAACACCAAAATATGAGTTGAAACCACCATTTACAAGGCAATGTTCAGGTGTTGTCATGTAAGGATCCCTGTTAAACCCAACCAACCCAAAGAAGCCGCCCAACGAGGCGCCTCAGCGGCTGCGCAGCGGTCACCGCGCAGGTGGGCCGTGACTTCTTGCGCGGGCCTTGGGCGTTCAGCTTCCCGGACTTGTCGGGGGTCTCCGCGGGTTTTTTGGCCGATGCAGGGGTTCTGGGGTGAGGAAATGGCTGCGTTTCTTTGCAGGTCTTGTCCGTGATTGAAGGTATATCCCGAATTTGTGGCATTTCGTAGGGGCTACGCATAGAGTAGTATCCCAGCATAGGATTTTGGTGCGTACCCCGGATTTGAGTAGATTTGAAGGTTGCTTTTTCACTTGTTGAGTTCCCTGATCTGGGGATAGGGGACAAAGAGATGACTTTACTTGGGTAAAATGACAAGCGCAAGAACAAAAGGGGGTCATCGGGTCATCTATTTTCCGTATGGCGCTTTGGTAGCTTGATGGGCCGAAGTACCATCTGGGTCATGTTGAAATGAGCTTTTCCTTGGGAAGGGAAGATCCCAGGCACTACTTCGATCATACAGATCACTGCCTCCCGGCTCCTTGACGAATGAGAGGAGGCTCTAGCCGTGGTTTTGCGAGACCCGGTACATGCAAACCAAGCGTTTCCCAGGACCCCGAAACGCGTTTTATAGGGCAATCACTGGCAGCATTCTGCCAATCAACGCGTGTTTCAGGCTATGATTTGCAAGCATGTCACACATGTCATTATAAGACGCGTTTGTTTTTACCCTGTCGCTGAATCTATGGTCCGTCATGCTCCTTTCACGGGCAAGCATTTGTGCTGTCTACTGAACAGGTTCAGGGGATAACCAGGTATTGTTTTGCCAAATCAATACAATCTGTGAGTGATTTGTGTTCCAGCGGCAGCCTTGCAGGTTTCAATAAAGTGGCGTGTTGGTATGTAATACTGTCAACATTTGCCTCTCACTGTCAGAGGTTTTGCCGGGGGGGGGACCACAGACAAGCTCAGAGAAGAGGTGCTTGATGTTTTCGAAAGCAGCCATAATAGGCCCGGCAAAGTTGCACCGAGGTTGGATGAACCATACGATTGGCACTTCAAGACAAGGCGCGGGCATGCGCGAACGAATCGGCGATTGGCTGCGCACGACCGCGCAAGCTGGCATGTGAATGTTGATTCCAGACAACTTGTGTTTTTGTTTTTTTTTTCGCCGCTTGTTCCCAGTTATGATTGAATAGCACCGTTCTTACCATGCCAGCCAGGATCCGCATCTGATTTCTCCAAAGAGCCATTCCCATATTTGTTTCTGAGCAAGCTTCGGCAGCAACGCCCGGTTGATTGATAATGGGGAGTCTGTGTTCTTGTCCGTGGGGCGCCTTTTGTGGGCCAAGCTTTTGCATCAGGGCACGGTCGGGACTTCCCAGTTGCATCGTAAGGGCAAGCCAAGGCCCCACACACACAGGCAGACAGACGGACGGACAGACAGACAGATAGACACACACACACACACATAAGTGGTAACTATTCAGCCCCTGCCCCAAGCACGTCTCAGATCCGCTCCCTTTCCCGTCCGTGAGAGTATTCGCGAAACTGCTGAGAATTTCATGGCGCTGGGGAACATGTTCTCCTGCTTAGGTACATGCGAACGACAGAGGGCGCTTTTAGGCACACTTGTCTTGAAGCAAGCTCAACCAGCACGAATCGTGCTACTGTGTGTGTGTGTGTGAGATGGTTGGGTCCAGACTTTGGTTGGCTGCGTGACCCCTATGCAGGGATCCTCGGTCCTGCTGATTCATGAACCATTGCCAGCATACTGCGTGCGGGTTAGACATTCTGGTGTTTGCGGATCAGTGATTGCCCACATTTTCAGCTTCAAATCCAGATCAATCAGCAGACGATCTGCGCTCTCCAAATGAGGGGCCCAAAACATGCTTTCAGCTCCGTCCATCAAACTCCTTTCAAGATGCGAGCCTGGGCAGTGTAGGGGTCGATCACTTTCGGCAGTCCCGAATCTCACTACGGCGGGCGCCGAGGGGCTCCCTTTGAGCATACGAGCTCGCCCGTCAGGAAGTTTCACTTCTGGGTCCCATAAAAAAAAAGTGGAGGTTGGGAGATGTTGCATAGCCACGAGATGGGTCCTCTTTGAGCTTCCAAGCCAATGGCTTTGATTCACCTAAGGACTCGAAGGGCACGTAGGGGACGTGGGGCCCTGGTGCCCTTTCAGGCCGGCACATAAGCCCCGGAGGACTGAACCCTGTGAGCCGAACAGCGGATTCCGCAGCCTCGTGCTGCCCAAAGCAGAGGCACGGCCTTTGGCTCGGCCTTTGGGCCTTTGGGCCTTTGGGGCGGCGGTTGGGTGAAGAGAAACGTACGGTCAAGCATAGGTGTCCTTTTTGGTTTGCTTAAAAAATAGAGGGCGATTCCTGGTTTAGATGGGGTTTATTCCATTTACCAGGGCCATCTATTTGTCCAAAAGGCCACGTATGCGGTCAAGCCAAAGGACGCCATATATACATGGAGCAGTAGTGTTCTCTGTATGTATAATTGTTTAGCCCGTTGCATTCAACGCTGGAAAGCGCTGACAACATGCAACAGCTGTTGAAGCAGCCGTTGACCGCCCCAAACATTGAAATCGCCCAGGAATCAAGTTGCGATTTGCCCTACCAGTAAGTCTTGTTAATGCTCCAATTGAACAAACTGTTCTGACCATTGCCGAAACCAAAGGCCCCAACACAAGTGTTCTCTTTGGTTCCCTCCAATAAAGGTCAATTGCACAATGCCCCCTCCAGTTTTGGTTAATCACTCACGCCCCTTCTGCAGGGACCCCGCAACACCAGTGCACGCACTTTTCTGGGGAAAGACTAAGATGCAGCAATCAGGTTGGGAGAGGTGATGGGGGGGGCGTTGAAGCTTCGGGTAACGTACCATGTTTTCCGACGGGCTCCCTACTTGATTAGATCATGTGGCCAAGTACATACGTCGGGCTTTGGGTTTCCTGCAAGTGGGCCTGCAGATGGAGTTGGTGACAAAGTAGACATGAAGAGGACCCTGCTACCACAAACTCCAGAAAGCCCCAGACATCAGCGGACGAATTTGCCAGTGTCTGCATTGCATTCGTTTGGTAAAGCTCAAATAGTTTGCTCAAATAGTTCAGACTTGTTTGGCCAATCCACTCAGCAAGTGAGAGTAAACAGCTGTTGCTTGAAAAGTGCATCTTTGAAAAGACAGGAAAAGGAATCGAACCCCTGATATAAAAAAGGGGGCGAATTTCAACTATTCCCGCCCACCCAGGGGTTTCAGTCCGTGGTTCCTCACGAAGCTACTCCTACCCTGCTGAACTTTAGTCACTTTCCGTGCCTGGATCATTTTGGCGGTAAAAAGGAATGGAGTTTCGACTTTTCTTTGGGGGATCCAAACATCTACGTTAAGAACTTAAAACTTCGCCACAGGAACTGGTTTCGGGCCAACTTGCACAAGTCTACATTAAGGGTTTCCCAACACTGCCTGTTTCGGCTGTTTTTCGCAAGTTCTACATCAAGGGTTTTCCCAACGTAGAGCCCATCCCAACCAAAGCTGGCACCAGAAACATGCTGAGCGCCCTTGTCTTCCATTTTGAGAGGTATCGCAGCGACATGTCTAGCTTGGCCCCGGCTTTTATCCGCGGCTTCCTTTCCCCGATCGCCGAAAGTAATGCAAGAGAGAGCATCGAAAAGTGACATGAAACAAGTTGTTAACATGGAAGTGTTGCTGGAACGGGGTGCAGCAAGCTTCCTTCAGTTGGTTAACGTGGGCTGAATAAATAAAGCCCCTCAAAACTCTTGAACATCGGCAAAAGAATTGGGGGGCGGGCACCGGGCACATTTGGCCTCCTCCAAGTTTAGCACTGGTTAGTACCCTCCCACTGACATGGCACCTGACAGGGGGTCCCTTCAAAAGGACATTTATCCAGGTACCTCCCAGGTGCCACGTTAGTTGGGCGAAGGGAAATATGGTTTGTTTTGCTTTGCTCTGCCTTGGTATTGGCTTAGTATTGGTTTGTCTTGGCTTGGTATTGGGTTTGGTACTGCTTCTTGCTGCTTTAGTACTGGATTAGTATTGGCTTGTATTGGTTTAGTATTAGTGCAGCCGGAGTTTTCGGGACCAAAACACAATTTCTTGTTTTGGGCACCCCTTTCATCTTGGGGTAGGGAAACATTGGGGCAGCGCTTTTTATCATTTGGTCTTTGATAAATCGGGCACCGACACTAGTGCAGCGCGCAGTGCTGTAGCTAAATCGTAATTAACCGCGTGTTGCTCCGAGTCCAGGAAACGAGCCAGCCCCGCTCAGAAGCAAGTCAGTACAAGCTCGTGCAGGATTTTGTCCATCAACAGTGACCTAGGTCCCCCAGTAGTGCCCTTGTTTTTCCTTTTTGAGGGGAACTTTTGCCCTACTAAAATAGACAAAACCTAAAAATGAAACGGTACCAACTTATTCTAACCTCTCAAATCTGGAGGACCTCGGTGACTGAAGCCAGTGCCCGTTAGGCCCCGCGGAGGACCGCATGGCCGGGCCCCGCGCCTCTGGCGGAGCTATGGGCTATGGGCGCTGAAACGGCGCGGCTCGGGGGTCGATTCGCCGGGGGGTCGGGGCTCTTCCTGATGAGAATCTCTGCAGCTATGGGGATGGATCTTTAGACTTTAGCTTTTTGGTTGAAAAATATTCGGGTGGTTTCCGCTAAACACCCAAAAGCTAAACTTTTTGCAGGGGGGTCAACAGCAACCAATGAATCTGGAAAATGGGAGTCCCAATGCTTCCAGTTGCCACCATATATAGTGTCCTTATCATAAGCGGTGGTTCACTGGTGCATTTGCACATTGCAGGGGCTCGATTCCAGTCCTGTGGGCTGGATTGTTTTGCCACCTGCCGCCGTATCACACAGTGTGGACGCATGCTTTGCCCTTTCTTTAGACTTGCTATTTCGAAGGTCCTGGTTTGTTTAGGCTGGACTGGCTTCCCACCTGCTGTCGTTTCGATGCGTCGGGGTGCAGCGTTGGCACTTCTGGCAAGCGGTGCCAGATCTGGGTCCGGCCTCTCTCAAGTTTCACATTTTGCCCTGTTGGTTTCCTGCATTTCCCATGTCAACCAGGAAAAATATACTTACTTGACGCAGCTGGCCGCCCCTGGTTGGCAATCAAGGGGTTTAGAATCCTCTTAACATGGTTGTTGTTGAAACTGTTGGGAACATTGTACATTTTGCTTATTGTGGTTTAGTGGTTGAAATCCCCACTTAACTGCTTAAAACTAAATTGTTGCTCCCCTTCCAACGTCAACCAAGCCAACTGGGGGTGGCTAGATTTAAAACCCCAAACCGAGGCGGCCACGCAGCCTGTCTGAGTCATCGCACTTTCCGGTAAACGACCTCAGGGGTAAGCAATGAAGCACATCACAAGTTTCGCAGTCTTGAGGGGGCCGGGTGTTTTGCAGGGCGCCCTTCTCAAAAAATATGGGGAGGGGGGGCAGTTCAGAGGGAAGCCGAAAGTACAAAGACAGATGTTCACCTTCATTTGCTTAAGAATATTTTTTACTTTCCCTTGTTGTTTTTAAAAGGGATTCATCACCACCGGAAATATTTTATTTTTTCCTGGGGCCTTAACCAAATGGAAGTAGGTCCCCATTTTCGTGGCGTCACTTTGGTCGCTCCGTGCTTCAAGACGTCAGGTCTTGGAGGATCCCCCCGTCGTGCGCTTCGAGCACTTCCTCTCAGCCGCTCGCCCCCGATTTGTCTAGGGTTTCCACGTGGAGGAGGTTATGCCAAGGAGCTTTCGAGCCGCAAAAATAGCTTCTCCGAAGCTTATCCTGGGCTCCAAAAATGGCTCTTACTTGGAGGTTTCTCCCTGAAAACGCTGACAAGGGTCCCCTTTGATTTCCCTTGGACATGGGTGCGCCTTTGCCCGAGCTCTCAAATGGGGTCTCGCCATTTGATCCGAGAAATTATGTTTTACATGTCCTCTAGACACTGTTGCCAAGTGTTGGTCATGATTCAATCGGGTTCTTGTCGATGGGCCTCATTTTGCACCTAGCCCTCATCTTTCCAAACATCGACATGGCTCCTAGTTCCTCTTCTGAGGCGTGGTTTCCAACATGCTTGCCAATGTCATTTGTGAGGATTTTGGCTGGGTTCTGTTTGAAGGCTGGGAGAAGAACAATGTACGAATGTGTCATCCACCCGAACTGGTACGAAATGGTTTTGTCCAGCACAGCAGGGTCTTGCGGCGTCATGCTTGTGGGATAGGCTGTACGGCATCTTCTCTGTAATGCTACAGAAGCCCGGTTGCATCACAATGATTATTTCCCACAACTGCGTCCGCTGTTCGTCCGGAGGAACATGGTTTATGGGGGCACCCCTCCCTCTTCACAATAACCCCTACTCCAAATACCCACTTTTCTAGGGTATTTTTGGAGAAAAAGAAACCTGGGTGTCCATTGTAAATAGCTCCGTTCTTGGTAGAGGGTCGACATCATACTCTAGACTTGACTGCCATGGTTGGATCTTTAGACTTCAACTTTTTGGCTGAAATATTGAGGTGTTTTCTACTAAACCCCCCAAAAGTGAAATTATTTTTGCAGGGGGTCGAGTCAACAGCAATCAAGTAGAAGAAGCGGGTATTTGGAGTAGGTCTGCTTGGATACGTCGGGGCTGTCTCAGGACGAGGAGGTGGCCTATGTGAAGCACATGGCCAGCAACCGCTTCGAGAAGTCCTCGGTGGGCATGACATACGCGCCTCGCCGTGCTGGCCGTTACGCAGGGGGGGGGTCTAAGGAGTTTCCTTCCCCTTTGTGGGGTCCCTTTGTGTCCCCTTTGTGTTCCCCTAAAAAAGAAAAAGAAACAGTTCCCCTTTGTGTTTTTGTTTTCTTTTTCTTTTTTGGTGTCTTTTTTGCTTTCCACTAACCAGGTGTTTTTTTGCTGGGGTCCTAATTCCAGCCAAGTTTCTAGGAGTTGATTCTTCTTCATATTTCATTTTTGTTCGTCTACCCCAACATATCACAAATAACGCAAGAAGGGGGGGTACACAGAAAGTATCTTGCGTCTCTAGGGGTTGATTCCTTGTCCATTCTTTTCAACCAAATCGTGAATCAGTGAATCGGTGAAGGAATTTCTATTCACACCTCTAGAGATTGATTCTTTTCAACCATTGGTATTAAAAAAAGAATGTTTCCTTTCGGGTTCTGATGAAAGGATCCCTGAACAAAAATGGGGAAGTGTCCCCTAGAGAGTTGGCAGCCCCTACCCAGTGCAGTTCTCAGCTCTTGCAAACACTCCCAGGGTGTTCAGCGCCTTCTGGGGTTGCCTTTGGTTCCCTGCAAAGGTGTCAACGTTGCAAGGCCTGAGCTTTTTCCGCCCTGCCCAGGTGCAAGTGTCCCTTTTGAAGCAAAAAGCAAAGCCAGACCCCGGCCGGAGCGTGTCCATGTTCCGACAGGAAACTGGCACCAGCTCCCGTACCTCCGAGACGGCCTGGCTGAGTCGCAGAGAGGAGTGTGCAGAAGGGCGAAGCGCGGGTTGCTGATGCGCGCAGAGACCCCAAAATTGTGGTTTCCCTTTCACACCTGATGGCGGTTTCTCCGCAATTGTGGTTTCCCCCTTTCAACGTGGGGCAAAACCCCTTCCGAAACGAAGTTGCTTTGCAAAAACAAACGAGCTCGCAGGTTGGGGGAAATGAGCCCATTCATGATGAAGGTTCCCTCTTTCAGGATCGCTTTATTTCGGGCTCGGCTAAACAACTACAACAGATTGTCCCGCATCTGTCAAATTGTTTCAACTTTTGTGTGTTGCTTGGGTTCAATTGCAACCTCTGACGGCAACCAAGCCGTTGCTATTCTTTGTGAAACGAGGAGTTGTGGACTGAAATTCGGGCGGGGCACAGCGACGGTTTGGCTTTGGGTGTTGTGCTGTGGTGTTGCTTCCTTTGTTGCACTCCGACTGGGCCACTGCACTCTGAGAGCCGCGGCTTGTAAGGGACGGCACGGCCATGAGCCCCATGATAAGAGCCAAGACAACCGCAACAATGTGGCTGGGTGAATTATAACGACCTCACATGACCTCACCCGAAATTGTGGTTTATGTGGGGAATAGCCCCCGAGCCACCTTATTTCAGGCCCGTGGAATATTACAACTCACCCAGATGCGGCCCACAAATGATGATTTTTACGATGGAGCATGTTGTGTAGTTGAGTTTAGGAGGGCTCAGTTCAAGAAAGGTCCGCCGTGGGCCAGAGATATTCCTCTCCTTGGCGCCAGAAAAAGGCCGGTTCGCCCCTGTTCTGCGCGGGTGAATGAGTACTCGACTAGTGACTATGGTTTCCATGGGTTTGGCCAGTTTTGTCCCAAGGCCCATGTCTTCAGCCGTCTCAGCTGCGGTTTGATGTGGTGCTCCTACTTGTCCTGTCAATTTGGCTATAGATTGCAACCCTCCTAAGGCATTAGTGGGCTTATGATCCCAGAAACAACCTGAGGTGGCCAAGTGGGTCCAAGGTTGCCCCTTGAACATTCCACCTAACTGCGCATGTGGGGGTCTCCCTAGACAGGCTCCCTTAAACTCACAGGTTGCGTCCAAAAACCACTCAATACAGGTGACGTTTCCCTGGTACCCAAAGGGCCGTATTGGACCATTTGCCCGCCAGGACAACTTAGACGCAGTTCTGGTCAACATTACCGCGCGCATCACCAGAGCGACAAGGCAGTGATCGCTAGACAGCTTTGCCCCGCGGGGACGTTTCCCCTTGCAATTCAAGAGGTGTTGCGGAAAGAAGGGTGCTAGGAATAAGCTCTAGCGTGCCAATACTAGAGTTCCCTGCAACTGGTCGGTGCCATGCTGGTTTTTGTCCGATTGCAACGTATTGAACTGTCCCCCAAAGGCGTTCATGCCTGGTGGTTCAAGGCTTTCGTTTGTGTTGACAGCCACTTGAGCAAGCGCCCCAGAAGGAAATATTCAAAGCACTGGTGGGTCGTTTGGGTTGGTGGATTGCGATTAAAGCCCCAAAGGCGCCTATTGCCTTTTTGCAAACTCCGAGAGCAAAAACGGCTGGAGTAACACAAGGGGGCGCTGCCAGGGCCTATTAGTTTGATCCTGCAGCTAAGTGGTTCAACGTGGACAGGGTCGCTCTGCTGGCCTTTTAACCGAACCGTTCCCTCCATCTTGCTTGCCTTCGAGTGATTCGCGCAAAGAGTTTGCAGACTATCTTGCAGCACCCAGCGCCCATGGGCCATAAACATGGTGACGGAGCTTTGGCTCGTGAATAGTTTGAAGGTCATTGGGGAAGCCTGCAACCATCTCTCAGCAAAACTTCTGCCTCCTTCATCCCACGCACCTGCTCAGATCCGCGGCAGGTTCTCCGCTGCACAGGTTGCGAACTGTTTGCTCAGATCTACGCCATTTTTCAGCCGCACAGGTTGCCCAACAAATTTCTCAGATTTGCGGCAACTTAGCTCCCCAGGTTTCCCAAAACTTCCAAAATCTTTGCAGGCGACACTGTGCCCCCCAACATGCCTATATCGCCACAGCCATGAATACGCAAATTCAGGAAGCTTGCTGGCCTTGTGGCTTTGCTTGGAGACAACCTGCAAATGAACGCGCACACACACACACACACACACAGCGCCCCAACTCACCCATCCTACAGAGTTGCCAACGTGCTCGATCTGAAAATAGGACTCTGCCGACTTGCAGGTGGACAGGACCTCACTCAATCACGAAGCTGGGTTAGCTGCTACTTGGATGGATTGGATTTGATCCATCCCAAGTAATGCAGAATTTTGCGTAGGGTCTACTCCTTTCCCTTGTGCTAGCGCAGTGACGCCACCTTGTTGGCTTTTGGCACGGGGCGTCAGGTGCCTTTCAGGAACCGTTGCCCTTTTGTGAACAATGAGTTCGGAGGCAACATGCCTGAAGCTGTGGTAGTGCCAAATAGATCTGGAAACAGTATGCATAGGTGTCCTTTTTGGTTGTTTTGGTAGAAAAGCAGATGGCGATTCCTGGTTTACCTTGTGGTTTAGTCTTCTACCAGGGCCATCTATTGCCCCTAAAAGGACACCTATGACAGTATGACTCGTACAATCAACTCACCTGTGTAGCTTCGGGGGATTGCAAGTTCAACAATGGTTCTGCCAGGCTGGGGAATGAGAACATGGAGCCGTTCCAGGTGGACGGGTTCGGTTTTGAATGCAGGGGATGGCCAGGCTAGGGGCATTCTGTGGATGAGCCCAAGTTACTGGGAAACCAAATCTTTGTTTCGGGTTTTACGCTGCATGTATGAGTGGTATAGTTGGGTGCCGTATGCACCCTCAGGGATGCATGGGTGCATGGCTGCTGCGCTTTCACTTGATTCCTGCTTAGCCCCTCATATTAGGTTTTAAGTATCGGACCATGTCACGGCGTGACAGTGTCATGAGTTTAGCAAATGTGTAAGCGAGCGGAAGTGTCAGGCAACAGCTTATGATTGTTGGAAACACTGGTGAGAAAGACACGGGTTCAGCCCGTATGATCGACGCACATAGGGCAATTGTGTGCGCGTTGTACTCCTTTGTAGCTAGGTGTTTCGACACATCCCCGCCCGTTGTTTTCCCCCTTTTTTTTTACACGTCCCATATTGCATCATGCTGGGTGGGCAAGCGTTTCGACTGGGCATCTCAGCTAAAATGCTTCTTCCATACACCTATTGGACATACTCTTGCGGGACAAGATCCGCTTTGCACCAGCTGGCAGGATCCATGTGGATCCCAATATTCTTTGTTGCATTTTTCTTGGATGTTAGGACTTTCGCTTCCTCGGTGTCAGGTGGTGCGATATCAGGTGGGCCAGGAGTTTCAGGGGCACCAGGACCGTCGGACCGCACCCGTTCCTCGGGTGGAAGTACATACCCGTTCATACCGGTCCCTTGGCTTCCGTGGTTTTCAAGGGGTACCCCTTTTGGGGAGAGGGGTATGAACATCAGCGGCCTAAAAGGGGTATGTACAAGCACCCCTGGACACAAGAGATGAACCCCTACTAAAAGGGGAGACCCCCGATCAAACTCAAGCGGAATTTATTAATCCGGGGTTCCCAGCATGTCTCAAACTTGGAAACCTGGTTGGAATTTACGGGGGAACTAGCCGGAGACCGACCATTTCTAGGCACCCTCCAACTTTGAAGAAGTTTGGTGTTGCTCAAAGTCAACCAGTAGTTTTGGACAAGACCAGTAGGTGTTGCTCAAAATCAATACTCATCCCTTACCAGCAGTTGGTAGCCGTTTGTTTCCCTTGTTGTAGTGGTGTCCCAGGAATGGTTCGTGGGTAGCAAGGGATTCCTCCATGCTCCATGTTAGCATTACCATTTGTTGGCATCTTAGACATGTCGACGGCTGATTTCCTGACTGAGTGCCTTCTGAGTAGCGAATCTACGCAAATGGCCGTAAAGAAGCTGCATGCCCATGTTGTTCATAGTCAAATGTCTATCATTCGGGCCACGTGACAGTACCACAACTTGTCTCCAATCTCTGGCGCGGGTCTCGACCCCAAGTTCTCCAGGATTACCTGGACGAGCAAGAGTCCCAGGTCTGCGGCCCCTTGGCATCTTTTGGGCATTTGGCTTCAGCTTGAGGGTTCCAGACGGCTGTCCAGGCCGAAACTGAATCGACCTCAGTTGTCATATGTGGTCCAAGTGTAAGACAGTGGACCTGCTCTTGCCTTCCCTTCTTCAGCAATTGGTTCGGCAAATGTCCGGTGTCCCGTCATTGTCATCTCAAGACTAGTCGCACGGCCAGGGCTTTTTCGCCGTCATCTCAAGCAAAGGTCTCCCGTCCATCCATTGCTGGAATGCGGGGAAGATCATCTAAGACTGTGCGAAAGATCCAACCCAAACATTGGAGGTCGCCAACCCAAACCAGCAGCATGTCGTCAGTGCTATGCTCGTCACCCTTGCCATGGATCTTTGCTTAGACCACAAGACCCCCCCAGGCGTGTGACTCTTTGCATCAATGATCTCGGCCAGGGCTTTGAAGCCCGGCTTTCAAAAAACACAGGGCTTGCGGACTCAATATGCCGAAAGATAGCAGCAGGAGGGTGCCCGAATGTCAGGGCCTGCTACCCACTTTCGAGCAAGCAGGGAAGACGGGAGTGTTGTGGCAGACCCCCGATCCTCTTGAAGAGGCCCCATGTCCACTTCCATGCTTCCATGAGAATCCTTTGCCCTGTAAGGGTTGCAAGAGTTCCCAACTCCCAGCCTCTGGAACTCCCACAACATCGGAGAGAGAGAAAGAGAGAGGGAGAGAGAGAGGGGTGGACCTCCTCGATCAAAGGATGAAGCATTGTGGGGTGAAGGGCCTCTTTCACGGGGCTCTGCAAACTTCTGGATGCTGCCTATGCCCCACGTAAGGCTTAAGCCCCAGTACAGGGGAAAAGATCCGCACCTGCTTGCACATGCAACCAGTTTCCAATGGTTGCCCGCCGGCATTTGGGAACTCTTGTGCCAAGGGCCCTCATCCAGCTAGGCGTGGCATTAGTATTCGCCCTTGACTCAGCCAGGAAAGCGGAGAAGGTCATCCGGGGCCCCGGTTTCAATTCGTTGTCGCGAACGGGCCCTCGTTGCTTCGCGTTTGACACAAGCTCAGGCGGCCGTATTGGCACCTTCTTTATGTACCTGAACGACGTACCCGAAGGAGAAAGTCGGCCAAATTGTGTTTCACCAATCGGTTGGCTTTGGATGGTGCTGGGCTAAGAGATCCTCGGGGATGATTCTTTGACAACCTTCTTGGATGTCCTTTCCAGGGATCCATGACACTGGGCCATATGTGTTTGGCGCAAATGGCGGCATGATGTTTGAATGTTCCAAGCTCTAACTTGCTAGTTTTGGTGCCCTGTGCGAAGTGGGGCGGTGCGACGCGACGTGGTCAAGTTTGACGCATTATGCATTTTCAAGTCACCGTCTCTTAGCAGCACCTCAGACTTGGCCTAGACTAGAGGACCCAGAAGCAAAGGGGCAGCTTTTGGCCCAAGATGGGCAGAAAAGCCAAGGGGTCAGAAGGATTTGCTGACAAACCGTGGATGGACAAATCCTGCACCAGTTGGTAGGCAGTTTCAGCCCAGTATTTCCTTCCATTCCAACCATCCCGGTGCAGGATTTTCCGAGTCGACGGCAACAAGTATCAACTCCGGGACCCACAAAATGTACCCCCTGTTGGCATGCCTCAAACCAGGGTCAGCATGACATCCTTCTCGGGCGGGGGAGGCTGAATAATTGCCCAGGAGTGCTGCTGCCTGTGTCATTTCCCTTTTTCCGCTCAGCTTTCCAAGGCTAATCGGTTGTCCAAGGCTGTGTCTTCAATCTACTTGGCTTGCGGCCACGAGTGCATGTTTCTCTGCATAAGTAAAAGCTTGGTCATGACTTGATCTGACTGCACTTTTTTTGACACACCACAGGTTCTGCTGTAGGAAGGGAGGAAGCCAGGAAATGCCCCGACGGACAAGCAGACCGACTCGAGCTCTCGACTTGCCAGACTTGACATGAAACCCATACCAGAGGAAGGACCATAATTCTGGTTGCGTGGGATATCTCAGGCGGAACTTGTCCCAGGGCCCTTGGAATGGGTGCCCAGGATGAATGGACCCCTCGTTCATGGGAGTCGCGGTGTTCCGCTCAAAAGGGGCCCCCGGCAATGTGGGTCGATTCAGCAGCTCCGACTGATTGTAGGCATTCGGTTTGAGGTTGAATTTCACTCCCATTGTCTGGGTACTTTTCACCTTTCCCTCACGGTTCGATGGATCTCTGTGAAAAGCTCGACACCGCTGTTCGGCTGTGCTCATGGGAGCCCAACAGAAACCCAGGCAAAAGCCATTTCCGGGGGCAAGCCAATCCCAGTTGCCCAAGTGAGCATGAACAGGCCAATGGGGGTCTGAAACATGTGGTCTGGGGTCAGTTTCTGCGAGGCCAAGCAAACCGGCACCTGCTTCAAGGTGCTAAAGTAGTCATGGGGATGGTCCGCTTCAGTGCCGCAGAAAAGCTTATTACTCTACTTTCCGCGGCCACGCTCACTTCCCGAGTCATGAACTTCAAACACTTTTTGGTTGCTTGGACCATTCGAGCGGTAAATCTAAAGTTCGGTTGCTCTAAAGTTCGGTTACTTTTTTGGGGGGCCATCCACGCAAACTGAACCCCAGCTGCGCAGGAGGTCAAACTCACTTCCAGCACTGGAACTTCACCATCACCCCGCGGCAGCTCGGTCCGCAGAGCTATCCGAAGCCGGAGGCGTTCGGAGCAGAGGCAGAGGTGTCCTTTGCTTCCCCAGAACTCGCTCCCCTTTTCGCCGTTTTATTTATATATATATATATATATATATATATTAGATTATTATTATTGTTATTATTATTATTATTATTATTATTATTATTATTATTATTATTATTATTATTATTATTATTATTATTATTATTATTATCATTATCATTATTATTATTATTATTATTATTATTATTATTATTATTATTATTATTATTATTATTATTTCTGGGTTCCCTTTGTTTTCCACTGACCAGGCAAAAATGATATGTTTTTGCTGGGGTCCTCATTCCAGCCTAGTATTTTTTAGGTTAGTTTGATTGAAAATAGAAGGCACTGGTTTCGATGGGTGTTATTCCAACCAGGGCCATCTATTTTTCCAAAGGGACGCCTATGGGGAGAGGTTGCGGCCCCAAAAGCGGACCTCGGACCTCGACTTTTAAGACTCGGGGGGCCCAACTTCATTCACCCGAATCCGCGCAAGGTGCTTTAGCGGCAAATCAGCTGACAGAAGGCCACCGGAAGCCTCCGGGTTTGGGGCCTCAAAGCTGGAGTTCGACCCATGCTGCTCAGGGGAAGGAGGTCGGCCCGAACTCTGGAAGGGCTTGCCTTCGGAAGGTTTGGAGGCGTCCAAGGCTGGAACGGCTTGGTAGCACCTGCAGGGTGTGGAAATCTGTGGTCAGAACTAAGCGCGGATCTTCCAAAAAGCTTGGGCTTCATACCAGGTGTTGAAGCAATAAGCAGTTGCAGAAATAGCAGTCAAAAGAAAGCACAGATATTTGTACCTATACACGTACGAATAATCTGACTCAGTGAGACTTCGCAGACCCTCCCACAGCATGGAAGCGCACTGGAGCCCTTTCCAATTTGTACAGACCTCGGCGTCCAGAAGCGGTCACTGTCATAGTTGCCTTTCATCAGATCAAGCCACAGGCAACCGGTCGAAACCAAGGGTTCCTTGTGGGCTTACATCCAACTTTGTTTAGCAAAAGGGAAGCCATGAGGCCATAAGCAAACCTTTGGTGCATTTTGCCAAGGGATGTTAGGACTTTGACTTTTTGCCAACTCATGTGTTTTCCGTATTAAACCCACTAAAAGTTAAACTTTCAGGAGGGGAGCAGAAAGCAAAGGAAAAACCATCCAGTTTTGTGTTTTGGAGAACGGATTTAGATGCGTTCAACATCGAACTGCCCAGGAAGGGGCTCGCTATACTCTGGTGGAACGTGAACTACACGAAGCTCCAGCATGGCGACTTCCGCGCCGTGGCCGGAGTTTGGACGTTTTTCCTCCTGGATTTGCCCTTCAGTCTAGCTTGGAACACAACTAGGGCCCCCAGCTAGATGCCCTTTTGCCCCTTTTTTGGGGGAGGGTGTCCCCCAGGAAAATAGACTACAGAAAAAGAGGGTACCCTTATTCTATCCTCTCTACTGGAGGACCTAGACAAAAGGCCGCCAATGTGTCTCGTTTGGAGACCCCTTTTTGGGTTCCAGGTTGATTTGCAGGGGCATGGCGGCATACTCGCTCCCTGAGAGCCGGTATGGTGTTTGGGAGAAGTCGATGTTATTAGTAATCAATCAATTCAGGCTTCTTTTGGGCAACCCAGGAAATGAGTTTGTCCACGTGAAGCACAGCAACCATCAAAAGCAGGAACCTCCCTCCAGTCAACAAGAGGGATTTGGAAGGCGAGTCTCCTTTTCAGGGAGCCCCCCATTCCCACGGATCCATTGTAGGGCGGAGCTCGTGACGGAAATCTTCCGATCAACTCCCCATGCTCTTCACCCATGGTTTGTTCAAAATGCCAAAGGCACCGACAATGAAGAAGCGGTGGGTCCATTTTGTTTTCCGTGGAGGGGGGAATGGCCAAAATTGCTTTGGCCCACGATTCTTCAGACCCCTGGAGATGCGCGCGCAATTCCACTCGCGGAGCCATTTTCCCTTCAGGGAGTCAAGGAATGGACCCCACTTCGTGGGCGAGTTCGAGCAAGAATTCTTTTGGGTGACTAGGGCCCAGGTGCCCTTGAACTCTTTTTTAGGGGGAGGGTTCCCCTGCTAAAACAGACTACAGAAAAAAGGGTGCCAGGGTACCCTTATTCTAACCTCTCTATTGGAGGACCTAGGTGATGTTTTGGTGCTTCGGTGCCCTCAACGTCTGCTGTTACCCCTCCGTCAGTGGCCGCCTTTCTCCTGGTTGAAGATTGTTCTCAGAGGTTTGTTCCAGCTTGTTTTCTTGAGCAAGGACTTGGGCCAAAAGCTCATGCGTTGCCAATTGCCTTCTGCAGGGAGGACAGGGGTGGGGGGGGGAAAAAACTAGAGACGCCTTTGCGGCCCCTTCCCCCCTCCGAAGGATCTATGGTGAGGCGTTGTGCGCATAGGTGTCCTTTTTGGTTGTTCTAGAAAAATTGATGGTCCTTATTAAACCTGATAATTGGACACACCGCTGCACCTTTGCAGCGGAGGCAACGGCAAGAACATGGACGCCTGGCACCAGTCCCTGCCGGTCATCGAGGGTGAGAAGTGCCACGGCTGAATCGCACGTCTGGAAAAGGAGGGTTCTTTGGTCATTTTGCCAAGGGATGTTATGACTGAAGAGCTTTTTGCCAACGAGTATTTGGTTTTTCCGTATTAAACCACTAAAAGTTAGTCACTTTTAGCAGGGGAGCAGAAAGCCAACGAGGCTTGGTCAGGTCAGCTGCCCAAAGCCGGCCCTTCTGACCTTTTGTTGTTCCTATGTTGCTCCACTTTGGCCATAGCACCCAAAAGTCGCCTTTTCTTCTCAGGTCCTTGAGGCAAGTAAGAAGAGGTCGACCCTCATGCTCGTACAAAAGCTGATTTAGGGTCAAATTCAGTGATACCAAGGAGGCTCCCCTTTGGGAATCCATCAGTGTAGCATTGCAGAAAGAGTTATTGAAATCGCTACGCGATCCGCCGACGCCAGTGGATAGTCCCCCATTAACAAACTGCAGGGTGCCTCGAGTTTGGGGTCAGGAAAAAGACGTCTTTTTGCCTAGGTCATTTTTCATGTCCCAGATGCTGAGGATGCTGGAAATGCAAGGGATCAGCCACACAACTTACAAGAACAAACCCAATCTTCACGCTCTAGATTTTAAGACTTTCACACACGCGACATTGACCAAACACAGAAAATGCGAGAGTTGTGGGGAATGCTGGGAATGCAGCCGGCTAGCCACAAGAAAGTGCAAAAAACCATGGTTTTTCAATATTTCCCAAAAGCAGCCATCAAAAACCGATACTAGCAACCCCCCTCAAATACCCTAAGAATAGACTTCCAAAAGCACAATAATGCAGGGGATGTTTCGCAGTAACTGCTCCGTACAGGCGGGGAATTGCAAGAATATTCATTTTTTGCAGATTTCAACAGTTCCTCAAATGTCACTGCACTTGGCTTCACCCAAACCCCTAACAGGCAAATTCCAACATCGCTTGAAACAGCAAAACGCCACTAGTATCTGCAAAAGAAAGGGACAAATTCATGGCAACAAGATAATCCTGATGATGCTGGGGATGCAGATCCTGCGTGTCCGACCTAGGCGAAACGCAGATTTCTAGCACGAAAGACCCAAAAACACTGGAAAAATACAGGGCTTTGGACACGTAGCACAGCATGCCCAAAAAATAGCAGTCCCAAAAGCCTTCGGCTTTGATAAGAGATTCCGAAGGAAGACCAAGTTGCGGACTGCCATCTACACGCTCGACTGGCGTCGGCGGATTTCAGAATTTACTGGTGGACCGACTCTAAGATGACTGGTTTCCATGATCCCCAGACCACCAGCCAGAAAATGGGAGGTAGATATCCATTGCGCAAGTGATTCTGCCTATCCAAATATACACTTGTAGACTGTTTGCGACTCAGATGATTGCGCGTTGCCCAGCGCGTTTAGTTGTTCTGCTCATATCCGTACTGTTCCCCTCACCTTTGCAGCCTTTGCCGTATCCTCTCCGTTCTCCAGATTATCCCGTTCAGGTCCATGGTGCTCTTTGCCCGCAGCGTTCCTTCTCCCTGAACTTACAATGGCCTTACTTAGTGCTGAGGCAACGTAGTATGTTGTCACAAACTGTCAGCCGTAGCTCAAGGCCTGTGGTGCACAACAGATGATGCATTTACATGGGAACATGTTGCAGCGCATGCGTTTTGAGACGCCCCCTCGGAAACAAGATTATTACTACCAAAAGGGAACATGTAGTAGAACGCTCATGGTAGTTCTCCCGACTGCTTCACAGCAACGTAGTGATGACCATAGTCAGCTTAGATCCGGGTAACCCGAATGTAGGGACCGCCATCATCACCCAGAAGTGCATCACATGGCGCAGCTGTCAGGGTGGTGCGTTTGAGTAGCCCAAGCTTTGCGCTGCCAACCATTCACAGTTGTGAGAAGATGAGTTCGCAGGTGGGTGGTGAACCGTTGGCTGCATCCCTATGACTTCCTGACGCCCTACCACCAGGGCAGATTGAGGTAGACAGCATAGGCAGAAAAGGAAGAGCGCCGCGCTGCCTGTGATGCGATGAGCGAGCCGGTCTCAATATGAGGGACCCCCCTTTTGCATAGTGGCAAAAGGACATCTGTTTGTTATAAACAAGTCATCCATTTGGAGAGGACTCCCCCCCTGTGCAGAGTTGTAAGAGGAGTGTGGAGGTCCTTAAGTTTGAGAAGCACCTACGCCAATGTCTCACGCAGCCTGATGAATGGAAGCCGGCAAGCGAAGCACGGGGAGCTTGCCAGGGTCCCCTGATGCGGCAAAGCACAGAGGGGTGACTGCTCAGCAGCAGCAGCCCCCCCGTTGCCACTAGAGTGTTTTCCCAATTGAAGCTTGCCCTCCATCCAGGCAGGCCCTTTTCCCTTGCTCGCAGGCAAACGTGCCTGCCTGTAGTATTATATAAAAAAGGGAGTTAATTGGGGGGCGACACGAAATGGTGAATGAGCCTTGCTTGCTTACTGTGTTCCAGTGTGCGGATATGTCCTCGGACGCAGGGCCGGCCAGGGCTTCCGGGCTCACATCACAGACTTAGCATGTGTTAGCCAATGTCAGCAGCGGGACAATTTTGGTTCCTTCAAGTTCCTTCTGTGATTTCGCCCTCTCACAATGGCACAGGGTGGGGGTGCACTGCCCCATTTCAGTGGCAAATTTCTGCAACCCCTCACCCTCGGGTGCAAGGAAACAGGCCGTTGAATGACCTTGTTTGCCCCCCAACCCCCCAACAGATGGGAAGGAACGCAAGGAGCCAGGAAGCCAGGGGTGTTGGATCGCCCGCTTTGCAAACAGGCCCCCGCAAAAAACCCCACCTGAGCAATCCAACTCGCAGGAGGCGCCAAGCGTCAGCGCTGACGCGCAGGCGACGGCGCCAAGGTTTGCCCCCTGCAAATCACCATGGAGCGCAAAGGGATCAAAGGGATCAAGCGAGACGAGCGAGATCCCTTGTTCGCATGGCGATCTTTTCGGGGTTCCAGGTTCATCAGAGTGCTGTTTCATCTGTTTCCATGGGGCAATGAACCTATTCCGCCTATGTCTATGTCACGCTGCTTGGTTAGATTTAGGCCCCCCTTCAACCCGTGGTTGCCTCATGTGTTCTTGTTTGGTGAGAGTTTGCCTGTAGCCTGAATAACTCCTGTTCGGACGAGGCCCTTTGGAGCAGCAAACATGGCAAGCGGACTGGAACATGTTTCATTCAGCAACCCGTTGTAGAACCCGCTAGTGCCTTTGCACCTTTACACTAGCTTGGATTTGGCAACACCTGTAGACATCTACGCCGGGGCGGATTATTTGGGAGGATTTTGCGATCGACACAAGTCGCAACATCCGGAATATCAACACAGCGTGGCAGCGAACAGCATCCTCGGGCTGTGACACCCAATTAGAGCCTGGATGGACGAAATCCATTTCGCACCACCTAAGAAACCATGGTTGAAACCATTGGTTGTCGGTATTTACACTGGAATCATCAGAAGCCAGGGTTTCTGAACGGTGGTGCGAAATGGATTTCGCAACCATCCACAGTAGTGACATCCACTGGCAAGAGCCACATGGGCCTCCTTGGGCCTTAAGCCCTCTTCGAACGTCTTCGGCCCTCTTGGGACTAGGGTTTAGGCCCCCCCCGCCCGAAGCAGCTAGTCATAGCATACCCAAACAGAGATAAAGCGCTGAGAATTCGGAGGATATCCTACAGATCCGTCTCTAGTAGAGTGACCGTACCTTTCCATCGAAGAACCGCCTTCCATGTTATACCTATACTATGTACATCGTACTATTGTCATTGTTGTTGTTGTTTTTTCAAAACGGCGGAAGATCCTATATTCACAAGTCATGCGGGTTTTCATTGTATGTTTCAACTGTTGGATTCGTTGGTCATCATGTGACACTTTCGCGATCACAAGTTCTGAGTTCTGAGGTCTATTTGGGGGCCTAGGGGATCCTTGGCTTTGGGTGCCTAACGACCCCCCATAAACTCCCCCAAGGCTCCCTGAGCCTTAAAACAGAATTCTACACATTCCCCCCTCCCACGAGCTTTGCCGAGAACCCTCACTTCGCTGGGTCCAAGACCCTTTTTTGTCGGTTTCCCACAGGTTTCCCGAGTCGAGAATTTCGCCTGCTGATTCCTTAGTTCGCGCAGTGGCAGTGGCCTTGGTGACGATGAGGTCAGATGTTGCGATTCGCCGGGTGAGAAAGTGGGAATCGCCACCTGGGCTTTACCTCACTAATATCAAGGTCAACCTCACAAGGGCTTACAACTGTAGGCTACCAACAACTCACCGACTTGTGCTTCTTCCCACCTCCGAAGTTACAAAAACATGATCTGCCCTTTTGATGACTGGGTCTAAATCGAAGAGTTCCCACTAGCCCCTTGAACCACAACCCTGTATCCCGGGATGTACCCAAAAACACCCAGGGCTATTCGTCAAAAACCAAAAAGGCAAACATTGGGTTTTTTGTTCTTGGTGTCCCATAGTTTAAGCTTCGCCCAAATGAGGAGAAGCAGCTTAGCAAGCCCTGCACAGACCCACGACTTTTGACGGTTTGTGGGATCAAGCGGGGTTTATCCAGCCACTTCTGTGATACGTTTGGGAATCTCCCCCTTATAGGGGGGGAGTCTTTGGGAAGTTCTGTTTGTATCGCAGAAGTGGTCATTTCCCACAGCCCTGCAGGTTTTTGACGGATTCTTTAGGGTTAAGGTCAGTTCCTGAGTGCATAGGTCCGAAGCCTATCACAAAATAGAAGCTTCCAAGACATTAGAACGAGGGGTCTGGAAAGGGCCCCCATCCGGTGGGAGCAACCGAGGTTTGCTCATGGCATGCGGCGACCCTCGCAGAGCATCAACTGTCAAACTGTATTTTGGGGGGTCTGGAGGATCTATCCATCCCGCTATCTTGGAGCCCGGTTCCATGTTCGTGGCACGGAATTTTGAGATGTACACTGCAAATGTTACTTGGGCTGTCTGGCTGAAAAACGCGTTTTTTGGTGGCGTCTGGTGGGCGATTCCTCCCAAGGGATCCAAAGCCACTGCCACTTGATACGCGATGCCAGACGGCATCGTCCTTAGCTCTAGCGCCGGGGCCGCACTGCCGAAAGACGTTCGCGAAAAGAATGCATGTCAAGCACCTGGAAGGAACCCCTATAAACTATGTGTCAGGGAAACCAACTAGCAGGGATACAGGGGGGAACCAGGGATACGAAAGGATTCCCCCTAAATGCACCTTGACTAAGTTTGATATGGGAAGCGGCGCCAAGGGAATCCCCCCATATCCCCGCTCCCTCCGTATCCCCGCTTGTTCGTTTGTCGAATATGTGGGCAATTGAATTGAGTATTCCTAGGGATGTCCCTGGGGCTTCCCTTGTCGCTTGAGGGTGACATTGGTCAAATCGGGGCGCATCACCACCCTTGGCATGTGAGATGTGGGTTTGCTTCTATGTGGTTGGTTCCCAGAACAACCCCAAAAAGGATGCGCCCAGACTGTGTGTGTGTGTAGCTTCTGCCCGTGGCTGTGGGGTCACGCTTAGGTATTGCCCATCTAGGCATAACTCACGCAGCTGAGTTAAGTTGCGCCTTGGCCTTCAAGCAACGCTTGCGAGAGGACAAGACAACAAAAAGCACCCGGAGCTGGGGGACTACCAAATGCCCATGCAAGCCACCAGATCAATCTGAATGTGAGAAGCTGTGGCTACAATGTAGGTTTTGAGGGGCCTGTCATGCACAAGGGACCTCATGATAGTTTGACCTTTTATAGTTTGACCTTTTGCTGATTGGTAGGGAGGTATCCCCTGTCCCGTCAACGCTTCTTACCCGCGATTTCTTGGTCAGTTGTGTTTTCCTCTCCCTGAGTCTAAGTTGAATCCAGTTGGGCGGATGTCTCGGCTTGGCCAAACTAGAATCGGCGCCTCAGAGAATTGCTTAGAATGTGCTGGCCACGCATCGAGCCGGCCACTGGCATCGGCAGAAGCATGAGCTCCCAAGAAATGGGTATGGGTCAAAATTAAAGCACCAGGGGACCACAGGTTTTAGTCATTGTTTCCATTTACTAGGGTTCAAAATTGGATATCCATGTTTGACCCACAACCAAGCAACCAGCCATGAGAAATGCTGTTGACTTAAGGAGTCCTTAATTCATGTTGGTGAATCATAGTAATCGGCGCAGGTAAGTGGGGCTTGATAGTCTTGGAACCCTTGTTCAATGCATTTCGATCTGCTGGTATTTCCAGGTTCAGTTTATTTGGTAGCAAGCAAGGTTATTTTGCATTTCAAGCGTGTTCGTTTCTCGGAGCAACCTGCACAGGATACTCCGACTGAAGCTTCTGCCCGCCACTGCGACCCGGATATGGCTCTGGCTTATTTGGCTTACCCTCCCAAGACCCAACCTGAAAGAGGGTGCCGGAAAAAATGTCTAGCTTACTTGACTGCTATTGGGCAGCGGATCTTTAGACTTTAACCTTTTGGTTGAAACAAATTGCGGTGTTTTCCGTACTAAACCCCCCAAGAAGTAAAGAAAAAAAAAGAACTTTTTGCAGGGGGGTCGAGTCAACAGCAAGGCGTCCATGCTTTTGGGAGGGTATGAGGCGTTCAGCACGCCATGGCACTTGCCTCGACGCCTCGACCGCGGGCAACAGAGCAACAAAACAATTGGCCGAAGGCCCAGGGGCTGGGAAGGGCTGGAGCGCGCCAGGAGTTGGTTTAGCTTCCATGTGCTTGAGATGTGTGTGTTTTTTAAGAAAAATAGGTTGTTGTGTTTTTTGTTTGTTAATGTTTTTCCCCCCTTGTTGGTGTTAAAAGGAATTTATCACTACTGGACATGTTTTTTCCAGGGGTCTTAACCAAATGGAAGGCAGTGGCGATACGCGTGCCATGAGAATTTTCCCATGAAGCAACTCCAAGCAAGCTCAGTTCCCAAGTGGGCTTCGTACGTGGGGAAAGAGCCATTTTAGAGCTAAACTCGTTTTGTTTTCCGTTCAACGCCGCCAAAGGAAAATGGGACACCCCGAGAAAAACAGGATATGCATTTATTTTGTCTCGTCTGAGTAAGCTTGATGCATTTGACATGTTAGGCCGTTTCTTGTTTTCTTTTCTTTTCTTTTTTTTTTTGGGGGGGGGGGTTTACACGTCATGGGTTTGTACGTCAAGGCCAATTGTCCAATGCCTCCCACTAACATGCAACCCGCCAGGAGGTCCCTTTAATCTTAAGAGGAAAACCTGCCAGTTTGGTGGCCAGGGGTGTTAAGTTGCACCATGTCCTTTTTGTTATTGTTTGAGCCCCGCAAATAACTTGGAAAGCGAATGCAGGTCCACATCATAAAAGACTAGGAGATCTCGAGGATAATTTTGTTCGTGATTTTGCTCTGATGCACTTGGCAAGGGCTTTCATGGCAGTGTGCCGTCCACTTGATTTGATCTTCAGAATTTGCCCATGTGAGGGATTAAAGCGAACGGCCGCTTTGGGGGGTTTGCAATTTCTCGGTGCCAAGCAGCCCGCATTTGATCTTCCCTGGGAAGCCGCGAGATCAGAATCTGCAGTTGGGCCATGTTGAAATTAAACCACCCATACCAGCTGAGTTAGGGGCTTTTTTGATGTATCCTTAAGGAACCCTGTGGAAAGACGGGGGAAACAAATCCTAGATGTGTTTCTCTCTCCTGACGCTCCTGGTGCACTTCGTCTCCTGCCTTTCCTTGCCGCTCACCAGTCGGCCAGGTGACTTGACACGATGCAACGGCCTGATCACGAATGACACACTAGGCAAAGCCGGCGGAATGAACATAAGCTACAGGAGCCACCTGATGCCGCATGCAAAGCGCCATCCAAATCGCCAGAACAGATGGGACACCGCCTTTGTGATGCAGGCGTTTAGAATGCAGTTGCAAGAGCAAGAACCTGAGCATGACAGATGTTTTTCCAGTGCTGGCCGCAGAATAACGAGCTCAAATGGGGGTATAGAACAAGAGCCCAGCCAACAGGAAGTTTCATGAAGTTTCCTTTCTTGAAGATCCCTCTTTCCATGCATTGGTAGCTTGTGAAGCTCTCTGCTGGCCTGTGCACTAGCGGATTTGTACATGTTTGTTTTTCCACCCACCCAGTCTACGTCTATGAGCTGTGAACGAGCCCTAGCACCCTTGAACTTACCTGCCCAAGTCGCTCGACATGATGCTTCGCCGCGCGGTGCTGCTAGCAGCAGCCTGCAGCGCAGGCACGGAAGAGTTGGTCGCAAGCAGCTCAAAGGATTTGCAGGAGCAAAGTCCCTTAAGGATACATTTGGGCCAGTCAGCAAGCAAAACTTTTAGCAGGTGGTGTTTGGGTGTATCCTTTAAGTACCCAAACGGTTCGCCTCAGGCCTGGGAGAGACCAAAGACAGATCTTTTGCCCAATGTGTTGACACGGCTTGAGTGGGTACCGGCCCGGGCATCGACGCTAACCTTGAGGTCCCCAAGAAGCGAGCGAAGCCCAAGGCGGCCTGTGCTTCCTGCGGCGCCGCGACTTGGCGCGGCTGGTGGCGGAGGCGGCGCCCTTGGCAGAGGAGGCGGGCCGCGGCAGGGCTGGGGGCCACGTGCAAATCGCTAAAAAAAAACACAGAAATGTGGCTTTTGGAAGTGCAGTTGGCCCATGTTGGTGGAAAGCAGGGGGCAGGGGGGTCAGTTTTTTGAGGGTGGACATGGTCGTGGAAGATGTATTTTATGTTTCCTCTTTCTGTGATGCGAAGGCTCACTGTGGGAACCCCCAGATGGGAACCATCCGTCACAGAAGATGGAATGGTCAACAACCATGGGTGACTGAGGAGGCGCAAGGAGGGAGTTCTGATTTTGGCCCCAGCATATGCACTCTTGGAGCCCATGTTGCACGGCCACCTTAGTTTTTGTTTTAAGGTTTGGCCAGCTGCAAAATTGCCGCTGCTGTGTCCAAACCAAGGCTCACCCCATCCCATCAATTCCACCCTCCAGGGCTGCGCGGAACCCATTCAAAAGACTAGACCCTAGCACCCAGTCAATGCTCAAACATCAGCAATCAAAGGTGTTAACCCAACCGGCCCAACCGCTTGGTCAGCAACCCCCATCAACCCCTTATAACTAGGGCTGCAAGCCTTGGTGTTTGTTGGTCATTCCCCCCAAACCTCCTGATTGCATGGTTGTTGTTGGGAAGCATTTTACATGTTTGTTTGTCATGGTTTAGTGGGAAATCCCCACTTAAACTGCTAAAGTTGAATTTTGTGCTCCGCTTCCAACGCCACCCAAGGCATTGGCCCAAGCCCACCTCTCATTTACCCCTCCCCCACTTTCTCCCATCGGAAACCAAAGCGAGACACTCTCCCCGGCCAGTGGGGCCTGGCCGGCGTGCTGGGCTTCCTCTGCTGCTTCGTGGCCGCCACATTGGTGATGATCCCCACGGGCCACGGCCCCAGATTTCCCCGGGCACTGGGGCAAGAGCCAGGAGCCAAGCCCCGAACCCCGGAAAATCAAAAACGAGAAGATGGCTAGAAACTAGTCAGGGCTCCTGAAAAGATACATTTTGCGCATTTGAAACATGGCTTTTTCCACCAAAATGAAGGGAAACCATTATTTGCAAGGCAATGTTCAGGTGTATAATGTAAGGATCCCTGCACTGGTTAAACCACGCCCCACTCGTTTTTTAGGGCCCCAACGTGACCATGCGTTGTTCCCCCCAAGTTATGTAGGAACTCGCCGATCAACAGGTTGCGGGCTCGGGTCTAACAGAATCGCATCCCCAGATAGCACTTCCCCACGTCCACCTCGCTTCGCTTTCCATTTGCTGAAGAATATGTGTTTGTTTCCTTGTCGGTTTTGAAAGGAATTTATCACTACTGGACGTACTGTGGGTGTGCACCACCTAATAAACCCTGGCACCATGATTCCCCTGTATATAAATGCCAAAGAACATTTTTTTTCTATGGTTTCTAAGTGGTGCAGGATTTCGTCCATCCGCAGTATTTTCACCTTTTTTCCTAGGGCCTTAGCCAAACGGAAGCTTCGCCTAGCCGAAGGCCCGCTGGAGATGGCGGCGGGGCTACTCTTCAGCAAGAGCTACGGGCTGACGGGGGCCATGCTGCTGGCCGCAGCGGCCAAGCAGCTCTCAGGCGAAGCGGCGAAGCGAAGTCCGATCCAAATGGCTCTGGGTCAATGGACCGCAGGTCTTAGTCCATGTTTCCATTTAGGGCAAGCCATTTTGGGGTTACCCAATTTTTCGCCCACAGCCAAATGGCTGTGGCTCAAAAAGCCGGAATTCCCAAAGGGGGTGCCCGATCGGTAAGTGGAATGGACCAAAACCTGCGGTTTGCCCCTCCTTCTTTTTTTTGAGCCACACCCAAATGGTCTAAGCCTTGTCTGCTAGTGGGCAACGGATCTTTGGACTTTAACTTCTTGGTGGAAATATTGGGGTGTTTTCCACTAAACCCCAAGAAGTTGAAAGCTTTTTGCAGGAGGGTCAACAGCAACCAAGAAGCGAAAAGCATGGTTTGGGAGGAAGTCTGAATCGAAATCGTGGATTTTTCCAGTGCACCACAGCTGTTTTGGAAGAGTTTGAACCTCACCGTTCTTGCAACTGGTTCTTTGGTTTCTGGGGAGCATTGCATCCCAGCCTCCGTTCCACAAGAAGCCCAAGCGGGTGGTGATAATCCCCTCCCTGGCCCGGTGCACGGTGCAAAGTTTTTCAAAGTAAAGCTCAGCCCAAAGAGCATCCGAAACTGTCTTGTTCACAGTCAATCATGAATCCTGCCAGATGGTCGGTGTTCGCTCGAATTCTTTGCTTAGAATACGGTCTAGGTTTTTTTCAGCGGTGCCCTTTTACCAACTCTTTTGGTTGGGAGGGTTTCCCTACTAAAATAGACGTCCTGAAAAAGGTTGGTGCCCTTATTCTAACCTCTCAAATCTGGAGGACCTAGGAGTCGATCCCGCCCCAATTTGCGCCTGTTGCGTTCGGCCTTGCTTTCTGGAGGGAGCATCGGCTTCTTCCTGGGCCGCACGCTGCTGCGAGAGCCCGGGGCCTTCAGGGGGAAAATGAGAAGCGGTTTTCCTTTGGTGTCCTTTTCTTGGTGGCTCCCCGCCATCCTTTTAGCTTTTTAGCCTTTTAGTGTGGTAGTTTCCATTTAACCCACCAAAAGCTAAGCTTTTAGCGGCGGATCTGAGGGCAGCACAGTTTTGAAAGCCAACCCTCAAAGAAGGTACAACAAAAGCACAGACAACATACTGATCGTAGCTCGTTTCTCATGTCCTATTGGCGCTGATGCTGGCTGGTTTACATCAACGGCGCACTCCCTCCATTGCTTGCAACGCGCTCACTCACCTAAGGGTGCAAAGAGCCCACTCATCGCTTTCGATGCAGGTTGCCATTTTCGGGTTGTGCTCGTATTTCAAATGATTCAAACATGCAAAAGGGTGCCGCCTCTTTGACCATCATGTGAGCTTGAATATCTCTCACGACTATAATCTACAATGGCCTATGATTTCTATTTTCTTTCGCAGGTGAGATTCGCAATTGCACTATGGGCTCCCTTGTGTTTCAGACGGTTTGGGCTGAGACGTCGCACTCTTCTTTTTTTGCCCGGTTATTGCGTGAAGCCAAAAGGGGACCCCCTTTGGTCTCGAGACGGTTTTTTTCCTGGATCGAGGTGGGTCCAAGAGACCGTGATCTCCCGCTTCCCGGTCTTCAAGGCCGCGTTCGAATCGAGCGATCCTTTGGCCGTGTGCTAAGTGACCAAGTCTTAGTGTGCCCAGAGGAGACTGAAAGGGGATACCCCTCCCACCAACAGGAAAAGTAGTCTTTCTACAGGGGTCTGTGCACTTCCATGTTAGTCGGTGGGAGGGTAAGTATGTGTTTACTTTTTCCAGACCGTCTATTTAACAACACCCAAGCCCCCCCCCTTCCTCCCCAGACCTCCAGAGGTACCATGCTTGTATTTTTGTGCGCTTTGTGCGGAGAGGGTTTTTCCTCAAAATCAACGACCAAAAGAGTTGCCCTTGGTTTCCATGGCCAGTGGATGCCTGGAAAAGATGATCAAACCGCGAGGTTCAAGTTCCAAAGGTGTCCCTTTGCCAGCGAGGCTTCGAACCAGGTTTGCATGAACGAACTCACGGGGTTTGCGACCTCATGGTGAAGGCTTACGTACTCGCAACACGAATCTGATGTTTAAGTACCCCACAACTCCGTTCAACCTATTTGTAATGGCACTTATGGTGCTAACAATTATCAGGGGAAAAAAGAGTTCGGGCTCAAAAGGTGACAGTAGACTGTTTTGTGGGGAGAGTTGGTGTCCGAGGGAGCCTCGTGTCAGGCGGTGATGCAGGCAGTTGAGACAGAGCCCTTCACCGTCACCTGCCGCTTGGGCGAAGCCGTTGCAGGTGGATTGGTGACAGCTGGTGTTTTGCTTCCATACTGTGGATGGACCAAATCCTGCACCAGTTTGAAACCATGAGAAACCACTATTTGTTGGTATTTACAGGAGAGTCAGCATCCCAAGGCCTCGTAGGTGGCGCAGTATTTCGTCCATCCACAGTATGGCTAATTTGAATTGTCCATAGGTGTGCGTCTTGTTTTGGAGTTACCCCTGGCCCTTTTTGGAGCCCCCTTAGGTAGCAAAGTGATGCCGGGAAAGAGTTTGCAAAATGTGCTTAAGCAACCAAACCGTGGTGTCTTGGACACGGGAATCGACAGGAGGTATTTAAAGCCACCTTAGGTAAACAGAGTATGCATTATCTAAACAGGGGCTGGGCAACCCTGCAAAAGGGGGCTCTATGTTTGACAACCCAGATGCTAGACAATCTGGACGCCGCCCGTGGATTCCTATTCCAAAACGTCGCTGGGATGGTCTCAAACGAGTCAGGCTGCTAAAAGCGCTGGTTTTTTGGTTCAAGTTTCGTGCGTTTTTTTAGTTTCAAGTTTCTTGGTTCAAGTTTCTGGTTTCTGGTTTTGTTGGTTCAAGCTTCAGATCTTTTGGGTGCGTTTTCAAGGACCTTGTGGGCGAAACGAAGCATCGGCTGGTCTTTGGGGTTGGGACTTTTTGGCGGGTGGCCTTAGGTGCTCTTTGGTTTGATCTTGAACCCTTAGTTGAACAAAACCACCTATTCATGGGTGTGTTCCTTTTAGCTTCCTCTTCGTGTGCATGAGTTACTTGCCATCATTTGGCTCAAGTTGAAAAAGGGTATTTCAACTCCTTTGCAGCCTTTTCCAACGCCAAATCCCATCTTTGACTCGCTGGATATTCCCATATTATATAAATATAAATATTTGTATGTTGGGCGTCCATTTCCAGTAAAGGCAATCGAAAAACGTTACCTCCCTCTCACATGGAATGGCAAGTTGTTCAGCCGATTATACGCCAGCACTACTCCTCTCCACAATGCTACGGTTTGCCTAAACATCAAGGTTCAACAAAGTCATTATCCTGCTCTGACAAATCATGAGCCTTACCAGCACTGGACAATGGAGATGTTCGAAAGAGGGCGGAGATGTTTAGGCAGGAAATCCCCCAAATTTGTTGGTTCAAAACTTGGCCTCGGCTAGGGGGAATAGTTTAGTCAAGAAATTAACCCTTTCCAACAATCATGGAACTGCACAGGAGGGTTTCGGAAGGCTAGCATCCTCTTGAAAAAGAACTTTTTGTCCACCTCACAAGACAACTTGACCGGTCCCTTACTTGTGGATTCCTGATTTCCTTTCTATGAATTCTTGCTATTGGCCCAGATCCTCTTAATGCACTTCTTCCTACAGGAAACGGTTTCTTGGCGCGGTTCCCATCCAACCACCAAACTTCGGGCAATTTATGGTATACAGTAGTGGGCAGCCCGGATCAATAAACCCATCCTGCTGGTTAATAGGGGGGGTCACCCACAAAATTGAAGGACTCCAGCTCAAAAAGAACATCCCCCCTATTGATCAACCAGGGGTTTATATCATTCCCGGGTTTGCCTCATTTGTTTTCCCCGCAGCATTTCCCAAACCTTTCCTGGCTACAGCTACCCCTATCAGTCAACCAGGCGTTGATTAGTCCCGGGGTTTGCCTGATTGGTTTTCTCCCCACCGCAACCCCCAAACCTTCCCCGGCCGTTGCCACGAGTTCGAGGCATGGTGCGCTTCGCGCCCATCCCCACCACCGCCAAGAGCATGGGCCTAGCGGCACCTCGTGTCAAAAAAGCCGTGCTTTGTTCGCTCCGAATAGCTTGACTGCTATTGGGTTGATTGAAATATTTGGGGAGGGTTTTCCACTAAACCCCCAGGAAGTTAAACACTTTTTGCAGGGGGGGCGTTGCGGCAGCCAAGATAGCCAAGGTTGTCCTCAATTCCCGAAAGCATCGCGAAGGGTTCTTCCGTGCGGAGCCCTTGGACAAGTTACATAGAGCCAAGTTACATAGAGCCAAGTTACATAGAGCCAAGTTACATAGAGCCAAGTTACATAGAGCCAAGTTACATAGAGCCAAGTTACATAGAGCCAAGTTACATAGAGCCAAGTTACATAGAGCCAAGTTACATAGAGCCAAGTTACATAGAGCCAAGTTACATAGAGCCAAGTTACATAGAGCCAAGTTACATAGAGCCAAGTTACATAGAGCCAAGTTACATAGAGCCAAGTTACATAGAGCCAAGTTACATAGAGCCAAGTTACATAGAGCCAAGTTACATAGAGCCAAGTTACATAGAGCCAAGTTACATAGAGCCAAGTTACATAGAGCCAAGTTACATAGAGCCAAGTTACATAGAGCCAAGTTACATAGAGCCAAGTTACATAGAGCCAAGTTACATAGAGCCAAGTTACATAGCCAAGTTACATAGAGCCAAGTTACATAGAGCCAAGTTACATAGAGCCAAGTTACATAGAGCCAAGTTACATAGAGCCAAGTTACATAGAGCCAAGTTACATAGAGCCAAGTTACATAGAGCCAAGTTACATAGAGCCAAGTTACATAGAGCCAAGTTACATAGAGCCAAGTTACATAGAGCCAAGTTACATAGAGCAAGTTACATAGAGCCAAGGTTAGGTAGAGCTTAGAGCTTCGGCGTTAGCAGCTATGTAAGTTAGTTTAGGTTTCTAAGGCGCCGGGGCGGGAGTTTGATCGTCGCTCGGGATTGCGACCCTCTGCGGAGATTCGCGTGGTCGAGGTTCAAAAACTGAGGACTTTTTACGATTTTTAGCATGCCCGCGCGACCCTCTGCGGAGATTCGCGTGGTCGAGGTTCAAAAACTGAGGACTTTTACGATTTTTAGCATGCGCGCGACCCTCTGCGGAGATTCGCGTGGTCGAGGTTCAAAAACTGAGGACGATTTCTGCGGCCGCGCGCGACCCTCTGCGGAGATTCGCGTGGTCGAGGTTCAAAAACTGAGGACTTTTTACGATTTCTGCATGCGCGCGCGACCCTCTGCGGAGATTCGCGTGGTCGAGGTTCAAAAACTGAGGACTTTTTACGATTTCTGCTGGCCGCGCGCGACCCTCTGCGGAGATTCGCGTGGTCGAGGTTCAAAAACTGAGGACTTTTTACGAAAACCCTCTGCGGAGATTCGCGTGGTCGAGGTTCAAAAACTGAGGACTTTTTACGATTTCTGCTGCGCGCGCGACCCTCTGCGGAGATCGTGCGCGTCGAAGCGCTCTCGCTGTGGCGCCGTGCGAATTTGTCTTAGTCTCGGCGAACCCTCTGCGGAGATTGTGCGTGTCGAAGCGCTCTCGCTGTGGCGCCGTGCAATATTCTTGCTCGCGAAACGGCCTTTGGAAGTTGTCTCGTGGTTTGCGCGCCTGCTTTCGCAATCCCGCGGTCGCGGGTTCGATTCCCCCCTGGTCCGCGGCAGCTCCGGCTTGAAAATCGCAGCTTTTAAGTACAAACGTAGTACGCGGAGCGTGCTCCTGCAGCTCCGGCTGGAAAATCGTAACTTTTAAGTACAGACGTAGTGCGCGGAGCGTGCTCCCGCAGCTCAGGCTGGAAAATCGCAACTTTTAAGTACAAACGTAGTACGCGGAGCACACCCCCGCAGCTCCGGCTTGAAAATCGCAACTTTTAAGTACAAACGTAGTACGCGGAGCGTGCTCCTGCAGCTCCGGGTGGAAAATCGCAATTTTTAAGTACAGACGTAGTATGCGGAGCGTGCTCCCGCAGCTCAGGCTGGAAAATCGCAACTTTTAAGTACAAACGTAGTACGCGGAGCACACCCCCGCAGCTCCGGCTGGAGAATCGCAACTTTTAAGTACAAACGTAGTACGCGGAGCACACCCCCGCAGCTCCGGCAGCACTTGCGCAGAGCAACTTGCGCAGAGTCACTTGCGCAGAGCAACTTGCGCAGAGCAACTTGCACAGAGCAATTGCACAAAGCACTTGCGCAGAGCAACTTGCACAGACCAACTTGCACAGAGCACATGCGCAAAGCGCTTGCACGGAGCAACTGGCGCAGAGCCCTTGCGCAGAGCAACTTGCTCAGAGCACTTGCGCAGAGCAACTTGCACAGAGCAGGCGCAGAGCAACTTGCACAGACCAACTTGCGCAGAGCACATGCGCAAAGCGCTTGCGCGGAGCAACTGGCGCAGAGCACTTGCGCAGAGCAACTTGCTCAGAGCACTTGCGCAGAGCAACTTGCACAGAGCACTTGCGCGCAGCAGCTTGCAGAGAGCAACTTGCGCGCAGCAGCCTGGAACAATGCAGCTTGCGCAGACCACTTTCGTGAGAAATCGCGCGGCGCAGTTCGAGAGGAAAGTAGGATGATGAGATGGAGCTCTCATGTGACCATACACACTGAGCATCGCCGCGCGCAGACACGCTCGCCGCAGCGATGTAAAAAGGTGTCTCCGCGGCTGGATGAGCACCTGTGGAAAAATGCTTTCGGGCCAGTCGTCCTCTAGTTTGTCCCAAAAGCCCCCAAAGGGGATGGATTATAATTACCTGTTTGTTTTATCCAGTTTTCCTGTTTTGCATCTAGAATTAGAGGAGGGCCTTTGTTTGGGATGATGGTCATACTTACCTGGTTCGTCCATCGGGCCCAAGAAGTTCGACATCCGTTGCTGTTTCGTTTGGGGTGAACGCAGATCTTGAAGGACCCTCGTTTTTGCAGCGTACTGGAAGGACCCCGGGCCTCCCAAAATGACATCACGTCACATGTTGCGTAAACATGGCCTGCGTCACAAGCATTTGACACATGTGACCCACATTTTTTGTTGGTTGCCAGCCATCCCCTTAGCTTTTGATTTTTTTGCGTTTAGTGGAGTGGATCCATTTAACCCTCTAAAAGTTAAACATTTAGCGGAAGATCTGAGGACAGCCGAGGTGTTACATGTTTGTTTAATGCACAATTATGGACCAGGAGCAATAGCTGGGGCATGTAGAAAGACAGAAAAAAGCACTGGGCAGCGCTGGCTCCGGATTTGGCTGAAGCAATCCGAGGAGGGTGCGACACTCCCCGCAGTGTCCCTCGAGCTGTTGCTGCTGTTTGTCCTTGGTTTTCCTGCCGGGCCCGGATTCACTTAGCTGCAACCTATGCCATACATTCCCTTTTCGCAGGGATCCAACACAGCAGTCTCATGGCCATTGAAAGGGTAAAATGTTTGGGTGGAAAGTATCACAACCCCTGCACGCTGCCCCTTTGCGCTTGGTGAATCTAATGGGCACCCTGATCTTTATAGAATGGTTGAATTATGTGCGTATATCATGGGCGGTGTTGGCTCCAAAATCCCTAGCGCCAGGATCCCCTTTCACTTGGGTTACATTTCCCCTTTGTACCAGAGATTTCTTCAAGTGGATGTCCACTAGCCTCCTGCCCTGGTAAGCCATGGTGTCTTTTTCCCCTTGCCCTCTAGGGGTCTGGCTGCTAACATAGCCTATAATTGCGTTTTTACCCACAGGGAAACCAAACAGAGATTGTTGCTTTTTTCAGACCGCCTATCCAGCACCCAGCTTTAACTGTGACAAAGTGACCAGGAGCAAAGCATGGGACAATTACGTGCCCACAATTTCAGGCACGGACACCCCCCCCCCAAGCACTACATGGGGCATATACCAAGAGCACCATTTGCCGCCCAGAAGTTCCTTGCTTGCATGACGGCGGGATTGCTGAATTATCAACAACCATTAAACCATTCCTTGAACCAAGTAATACCTCTATTTTCCAAGCCCCCCCATTGTATGTGAGGTCTCGGGTCGAGGGGTACTTCCCCACTTGCCAAGGGTCGGCCGTTCCGCAAAAACCACTTAGCTCATGAGGTATATAACAGAACCCATGTACAAAGCAAACTTAGGGAAACCACAAGGGGATGGGACATCTTCAAGCCGATGTTCAATGAAATGCATCAGCTACCTCTTCCTTACAACTCAGAACAAAAGCGTTCTTTGAATTTCTTAATGTCCAATTGTGTGCCGCCTTTCTAGCCTTGTTCTCCTTGTATAAAAAAGAAAAAGAAAAACAGACAACCCCCTGAACTTCAACAACAACTTCCTCCACTTGTCTCATTTCCCCTTTCAATGCCACCTTTCCAGCCCTGTTCCCCTTTTTTCCCCGACACGTCCCGCGGTTTTCTCCGAACTTCGTCTGCTTTTGGCTTTTCTCACCGCGGGAGAAAAATCGAGTCGTCGTCTTTTCCGAAGGCCTCGGGGGTGGCCTTCGGGCCCTTCCTCGCGGCCTCCGCGCTCTTCGGGGCGCCCTGGAGCGCCTTGAGCGCCGCCGTGGGCTCCTCCCTGGCCTCGCTGCCGGAGGCGCGAGTCGAGTGAGTCGCGGCGCGGAACCGCCGGGGGCGCGGGGGAACGGGGGGCGCCGAAAAGAAGGAGAGAGCAACGAAGCGGAATCCTAGGAACTTTGGGGGGGGCTTCAACGTTGAAGCCTGGGTGGTCAACATGATGGAGGCACACCAGGCGATGTTTTTTGTTGGCTTTTTCTCTGCTCGAAATCCGATCACAGACCATCGACCCAGCATTTTGAGAACCCGCACATGGCGCCAAGTTGACCGGCCCTTTTTGGGCTCGAAGCAGGAGCCAAGATTGGTTGAAAAAGCGTGATGCTTGACTGCTGTTGGGCAACGGATCTTTAGACTTTAACTTGTTGGTTGAAATATTGGGGTGTTTTCAAAAACTTTTTGCAGGGGGGTCGACAGCAACCAAGGGTGGGCTAACCAGCATTCAAAAGAAGGCACCACAATTGTTTCTGAAGGTATCGGGAACCCTTGCGAAAAGGGTTTGCGGCAGGAGGGCGAGCTTTTCCAGGCTAGATTGCTGAAGAAGTTGTTTCATGGGTGTTGCCAGAAGATGACTGAACAACGCAAGGAGCGAGTCAAAAGTGCACTTTGGGTCTCAACATACGCTGGTCCATTTCGTGTTGTCAAGATGACCTGTTGGTTGACCCTCGCAGGTTCCAAAAGATTTACTTGCTCTGCCAATTTGAAAGATTAGCCAGGCTTCAGGCCCCATGGATGAACCTTTGGTAAGTTGTTTAGTAAGTGAGTCTTGAAGGCAAGCTGTGCTTTTTGAGCATTGGTTATAAACCTTTCACCTCCAGAAACCCTGACCAACCACCAGATTCCTTGTCACTGCCAGCTTTGTTCATTGATTTGGCCTTTGCACAGCGTGTTGACTGCGCCAGATTTGGGAGGCCGCTGGCCTTAGATTCTGCCTTAGAATTTTGAGAGGCCGCCTCTTGACTGCTGTTCCGGACTGCCGTTCAGTTCGGGGTCTTTGGGGCTGGGGCAAAATATGGCTTCACCACCTTTACAAGGGAAGAATCATCATATCCAGTGATTCAAACATGTCTAATCCAATGGGTGGCCCCCTCCCTAGACCCGAGAGCCTAGACGCTAGACCCTACACCCTACACCCCACACCCTAGACAGCAGAAACTCGACTCGTGGAGTGGAAGCCTCTTTCGCTCGCCCGCCTCTTTCGCATCCTGCCAGCTCCTGGAGGGCCGGGGCGAGGAGAAGCTCAGGGCAGTGAGCTCAGGGGGGGAAAGGGACGGAGGGGGTTGAAGGCAGTTGGGTGAAGGTAGGCAGAACCTCCCCAGGCATGGTGTTGCGTGTTGCTTGCGGGCACGGGAAACGGTGAAACCCTAGGCCCTAATTTCAAGAAGCTGGAACGTGTGTTTGTTTCCCCCTTTTCCCATGAGCCACAATCAAAACCAGGGGATTGGTGAAGGTTAGTAAGGGACAACCCCCTTGCCATAAACAGCTGCGGAAGTGTCCGCCTTCTTAATTCTTGAAGCATGGTTCTGGGTCGACCATTTTAATACCAGTTAATACCAGGGTTTGAGTATGACTCAAATGGCCCTGGACCCTTGGGCTTTTTGAAGACCTCGGTCAAGAGCTGGGGTTTCATTTGTCAAGGTGCCATTTCGGTACCATTTTGTTTTTGACTCACAGCTAATCATAGTCGTAGCATTCCTGCGATTGTCGGGTCGTCTCCACGAAGGTAGTGATATATGACGAGGTACTTTAGGGTATCGTTTTTTTGGGGTTGCCGAGAAGCTAATCTCTAAATCTCTACATGTCGGTGGCAGCCGGAGGCAGAGGGCTTGCACGCAGAGACCTGCCAGAGACAACAGAGAGAGAGAGAGAGAGAGAGAGAGAGAGAGAGAGAGAGAGAGAGAGAGAGAGAGAGAGTCTGAGAGATAGGAAATTCGTAAGGTATATTCTCTCCATTCTTCAAGGGAAACTGGATGTTCAGGTCAATTCCCAATTCAGTCCAAACCGATAGTGGGTACCGTGAGATGTTTGCGGAAGTCCTTCTTGAAATGCGCGCACCATCCCGCTGCAGCGTTGCAGCCTGTCCCGCTGCGAGGCGATCATTGCGTCGTGGAAGGAGCGGGGCTGGGCAACAAAGCGCCGCCTTTTGACACTTGTTAGGCTGGGCACGGTGGGTTGGTTTTTAATTTGACATTTGCAACCAGTGACCAGTTCGGTCCCGTTGGATGAAAACCAAGGATTAGTAAAACCTGAGAAGAAAGAGCAAAGGCAATAAGCATCATTTCTGCAAAGCGGGCCCGGGAAAGTTCGTCACACAGGTTTCAGAAACGCTTCGATGAAAATATTTCTTCAGAAAGGGATGGGAACACCGCGTGAGCAGTCCTGGGAGGCCCTTGTGTTGAGCATCTCCCTGTATGAAATGGGTGAGGTTGACCTCACTATAAATGTGTTTTTTGTTTTGTTTTACATGAGCAAGAGGGGTCTCGCCTTAGTTTGGTTCACCTCAGTTTGTAGTAAACACTTTGTCGAACTTGTGGTCTGGCATTTGTTTCTATAAAGTGAGTTCTGGAAAATGCATGCATGTTATAGAGGCTACATGTCTCTTGTTTGCTTTGCGGGCCAGGCTGGCGGGTTGGGAAATGTTGGGAAGTGATATACCCATGAATTTTAGTCGGGAACCACCTCAAAAGTGATTGGTGGACATGAATCCCCAAATGATGTCCACCAAAGCGTCCCTTATTAAAATTCATAGCCATATCCTGAGTTGACTTGATGGGTCCATTGGCAAAAAAACTAAGGACAACAAATTAGCGATATGGGTGTGGGTCAACAGTAAACCCCCAGCAAACCACAGGCTTTTACTCCTTGGTTCCATTTACCAGACGTTTGACCCGCAGCCATATCCTGATCAGACAAAACGAGAAAGCCAGCGCCAGGAGCAGCCGCTCTACGTGGGCACTTGCGCGCTGCTGGCAGTCCTGGCAGTCGCCTTCCTGAGCCTCGGCGAACATTCGGTCACTCTGCACTCCCTCTAGGTGACTAGGTCCCCCAGCAATTGGTGCCCGGTTTGCCGTCTTTTGTGCTTGGGAGGGGAAACCCCCTACCAAAATAGACAACAGAGAAAAGGGTACCCTTATTCTAACCTCTCTACTGGAGTTCCCGTGCTGCGGGATGCTGCGGGTATGGCAGTCGGGGTGGGGCAAAATATGGCTTAAACACCACCTTTACAAGGGAAGAATCATCATAACCAGTGGTTTAGACATGTTTAAACCAACGGGTGGCCGGGTGACCCTGAAGATCTCCAGGGCAGGGGGGGTGACTAAACCCCACTAAAGGAAGTGCGCGATCTACATCCCAAATTGGTCTTGTTTCTGGGGGGGGGTCATTTACTCAGTTAGTCATGGTGGATGTTGGGAAACATTTTTTACATTTTTGCTTATTGTGGTTTAGCCCACTTAGCTGCTAAAATTTAAAATTGTTGCTCCCCTTACGTCAACCAAGTAGTCAGTTAGGCACCAAATGTTTGCGGACGAGTTTAAGGCGGGACCCGTGAACTTGGATCTGGGCCCCTGGGCTCATGAGTTTGTTTCTGTTTCGGGGGGGGGGGGGGCGGGGGTAAAAAGTGAGAGACTGAGCGTGTTTACGTTTAGCCTACATTGTGTGTTTTTTAGTTTGGCGAATTCGGTGCGGAGTGTCAGACCTCGAGTGCTATAGCAATTCCATTTTTCTTTGCAGCAGTGGCCCGTGTTTTTCTTTTTGGGAGGGTGCACCTTCAAACTCGACTGGAGGTTTGGGGATTCCGCATGTTTACTCGGTGATTTTCCCAGAAAGGAATCAACAGGAGATAAGTTGTTAAACAAAAAGCAAACAGACAAGCAGACCTCTCCCCTATGTCCTGATATTTGAACAGTATTCTCAAGTAAAGTCCCCCTCCGGGCATTTTCTGAGACTCCCCCACCACTCGTTGCAGATTTCGGGGGCCTTCCGCAGATCCCGCTTTCCGCAATTCCCCATGTTCCAAGATGGAACTCCTTAAGGCTTTCCCCAATTTCATAGGCTTTCGGTCTTTCGGTCCTTTGGCTTGCGGGGAGCGGGGGGGGGGTGGGGTGAAGCCATGTACCCAATGCTAACATGGGCTCGACAACAAACTGGGGCACGCCCTAGGGCCCTCCGCACGCGGAAGATGCTGGCGACCTATCGCGAGCTCATGCAGAAAGCCGCGTAAACGCGCGATGGCCGGGAAAAAGAGCGCTAGTCCAAGAGGGTTCGGCAAAAAGAGTGTTTTTTTGTGTGTGTTTTTCCCCTCCGGGGCGGCAGAACTGTGCTTGGTGACCCCTTTTACAAGAGATGAATCTCAATCTGCCTCAATGCGCGTAATTCTCACTTGTGGGGTTTCCAAAACCCACCCCAGGAGGGGGCGCTCTCTTTTAGAACAACCCGCCGCCTTCTCCTGGAAAGAGGGCCAGCCTATGTGCACGAAAAAAATCCAGGATACGCCCGCCACCGGCTCAAGGGGAGTGTGCCAGAAGGCTTCCAAGGCCTTGCTCAGTTCAGGATATCGCCGAAGGCCTCGGTCTCCGGACTCCAGCGGAAGATGCAGAATATCTTCCATTTGCTTAAGAATATGTTTCCCGCTGTTGGCTTTAAAGGGAGTCTATTGCTCAGGCAATCAGAGGCTCGATCCCTGGGGTACTCAATTTGTTTGATCCTGTGACGAGACCCCATCGCATGAAAAACCAAATCAACTCGGCTGGCTTCCTCACTTCCCCAGTTTCCGCTCAAGCTTTTTTGGGTGGGAGCATCTTAATGCCAATGCCAAACACCATCAATTTGTTTCTGACCAATCCGCTCTTTTGAAGCCGGACTAGACCTCTGGAAACGCATCTCTTGTCCCGCCATGGTCAACGAGACTGGCGGCTCGGAGGGGATTCGGTCCGAAGGCATTTGCTCCCCCTTGGGCGGCAAAAAAAACGAACCGCGTAAGGGACACCTAACTGCAGTTGGGTCAAGGTAGACGGCAGAACCTCCAGGCATGGTGTTGCATGTTGCTTGCGCGCACGGGAAACAGTGCCATCTAATTTCAAGAAGCTGCAACGTGTGTTTGTTTCCCCCTTTTCCCATGAGCCACAATCAAAACCCAGGGACAATCCCAACCATAGATAGCTGCGGCCGCCTTCTTAATTCCTTGCATGGTTCTGGGTAGACCATTGATTGTGACTCATGTTGGTTTTTTGATTTCACGGTCCATTCAAATCAGCAACCAATTAGTTTTTGCCGAGGGCAAGGTCTGGCCAAGCGCGGAACATCAAAGGACTCCTTCCCTTTGGAGTTTGAGCATGCGGGCGGCGCCTCTGCCATTGCCTTTTTTGGTGTGGCTCCAACAAAAATATCAGAAACAAGCTCGTCCCCCAAAACGTGCAGATTCCAGTAGCCTGTTTTGAGCTTGGGGGCTGCGTTACATGGGATAGGGAACCCGCTCTGAACCTCCTAATCCCGCATGTGTTTTTGCTGGTGGCCTTATTCTCCTCCATTTGCTTAAGAATATGTTTTCCCTTGTTGGTTTGAAAAAAGAATTCAGCACTACTGGAAATATGTTTTTTCCCTGGGGCCTGAACCAAATGGAAGTATTGGGAACATGCAGGAGGTCCTCAGTTGCTGGGGCAAAACCATGGTTGGATCCATCGGAGACGGGCGCGCCGGGAATCTGAACTCAGGCGGAGCGTCCGAGCGCGGCGCCCGGCCAAACACGAGTTGATAATCTCGGCCTGTGGTGGCTCGGGTTTCTTTGGTTTTGAGGGGGACTTTTGATCATAGCTGTCCTTAAAAAATGGAAGGCGCTGGTTTAGATGGGTTTCATGCCCCATTTACCAGGGCCATCTATTTGTCCAAAAGGACGCCTATGCTTTTGATCCCTTTCAAGTCAAGTGACTGCCCCCAAAAACGGGCTTTATCCGGTTTGAGAGGCCATCACGCATTCTGAATTTTAGAGCGTTTCGTCTTTGACTTCGCTCCGCAGTTGTTCGGCAAGCATTTAAAAAAAAAAAGCAGACCGAGATTGCTGCCAACGGACGGGCACTTGCTACGGTGACTGAGCAGGAAGAATTCACGGATGTCATGACTTTTTGAGGGATGTGGGATGAACCGAATAGGAAGGATGCCTGGACGCCCAACAAAACATCACCATTTCCCAGAGGCACTGCAAATATCCTCGATATTGAACGATACTGTGCCCGCGGAACAAAATCATTTCACTGGGAAAAACCAACAAGAACTTGCATTTTGCTGGGAATCAAACAATTATCAAGCGTTTCTGCTACTCCGGTGTGTTGGCTCCCAAACAACGCTGCTGGGTGCTATATTGCCAATAGTTACCTTGTTTATGTAAGCGGGAACAGCAACGGGGAGTTGGGCTACATGCCTTTCATGCAGTGGCCCTACTGGGAACCCAGGGCCCTGGCTGACAACTTCAGTGACTTTAGTGGTACTTTCGAGTAGTGACTGGAGGTAATGGAAGCCATCCTTGGAGCGCAACTGGACCCAGGCTGCTTTGTTGTCAGAGCTGTCAACTACTTTTGCTGCGGCCTTAGTGTTGCCAGCGCTGTGGAACCAGGATGTGTCGCACTTTTGTGATTCTTTATGGGAACCTCCGCCTTCAAGTCAGAACGAGTCATTGGTGGGTAAACCCTGAGATTACGCCTAGGAAGTTAGTCATGTTGGGTCATTTCCAGATAAACTCTTGCACTTGGACCATGCTCGGCCATTTTCGCAAGGAATCCAGCGGTGCAATTCACGGACATCTTTGAGGGAGAAGTGGGCGAATTCCACACTCCTTGGGCGTTTCTTCTCTTACTGCAGCTGACGCAGTGACGAACATGTCCAAATGGGCTCAATGGCTGATTTTAAATCACACATGCCTTGTCGGCCTGGAGTTCAACCAGATGACACCCATTGGTTTCAGCACTTTAACCAGCTAGTTGGTTTAAGCACTGCGTCTTGGACACAAGGTTCAAAGTGACTTTCCGGATGCAAGTGGCCCATGGCAATCTTCTCTAAGGGCGAGCTGGTATTATGAATGCTGCTGGTTCAGCCAGAAGCTTGCTGGGCATCGATTGTCCCAAGTTCTCATGTGTTTTTTGGTTTTGGGGGGGGGATGTGGATCTTTTTTATCATCAGTTCATGCAGGAGAGTGGTTGCATACAAGCCTTCATGGAATTTCCTGCTCATTGGCAGCGAGAGGGTCTAGGAACCCAGGCATCAATGTTTGTTGGGCGGCAAAAATCAAACAACTCGCCGGCGTCCCTTGGTTTACTGGAACCGCCTTGTATGGAAATGCCTTTGGGCGCTTCCCAGTTTTAGGTTTTCAGGTACCAAGCACGCCTTTGGGTACCTGCCGTTTGAACAGAAAACAGGGAATCTGAATGAAGCACCACTTGAATGTCAAAGTTTGAACTTGTATCTTCCTGTTTCACTTGAATAAGGTCCCTCCCCTACCGGGCTTGGCATGCATCAGCTTAGGTGATCTTAGATGGCTTGGGGGTTGGCTAAATCAGTGGAAACCCTCGCCTTTCGAGCCACTGAGCTCCTGGACCAACTGGGCCACTGGGAAGGCACGGGCCATGGCTTCCACGGCGCCTTACGCTTTGCCAGCGAGACGGTCACTCCAGGGATTTGACAGTCGGACCGGTTTTCTCGCGGGAGACCGTTGGACCGGAGAGGGGATTTGACCGGTGATGGGAAGTTGACCGGTTTCTAGGGGTGATTTGATCGGCTAGAGTGGATTTGGCCGGTGAACCGTCACGGAGTGCAGCGCCTGTCAGGAAATCAGAATCCTGCAGGTTGTTCTGCGCTGGGAAGTGTGAGTGGGGCGCCTGAGGAAGGTTATGCATTCTGCGTGATTTCGCGACTTTGCCGGAGGCGCTCAGAACAGGAATGCGAAGCGTGCGACCGTGAGCAACAGCCAGCGCAGCGTGAAGCCGAATGGGTTTGCTTCAATGTCCCCCCTCCAGCAAAGCGTTCCTCTCAGATCCCCAGTGCTTAATTTAGCGTTGCCAATTCTAAAGTTAGTATTGCCAAGCCATTTCCAAATTGTTCTTATTCTGCCGAAACTTGCTGTCACATCAATTCTGAATTTCAGCTATTGCCAAGCCTTACTTTCAGATTACTAGCAATCAATTCTACATTTGGCATTGAATCGCCAAGACCGACTCTCCGATTCCCAGCGTGTGTAGGATTTAGCATTGCCGATTGCACATTATCTCCAGGATGCCCAGTGCTTGATTTTGTACTGCCAACTCTACATTTTAGTATTGCCAAGGCTTCCTCTCAGATTTTCAGTGCTCAAGCTAGCATTGCCAATTCTAAATTTACGCGAGCACTTGTGGCTTGGACTTGTATTCTTCGCGCATGCCAGCGCTTTACTGCGCCTCAGAACGAACTGCCAAAGTTGAGGACATCGCAAGACCTCATCGTTTGTTCGGATGGTGAGTCTGAATCTAAAACCTTAAAGGCTTAACACCCTAGCCTAACCGGAAAGCGAAGCAGAGTGGTTCTGGGCGAACCACACGTGCTGCATTGCCATGACTTACTCTCAGATTCCCAGTGTTTAATTTAGTCCTGCCAGTTCGATATTTGGTATTGCCAAGACGCACTCTCAGATTTCCAGTGCTCTATTCAGATTTAGTATCGCCAATTCTGTGAATGAGTATTCCCAAGACTTGTAAGAACACAACAACACACAAGCAACAAGCAAGAACAAAACAGAAGTCAGCGACACTGTTTAGCCTTGCTTTTTGAATGCAGGAGTTATCTACTCTTAGGTTTGATGGTTTGGGGACGTTTGCCCGGCTTTGTTTGCCCTGTTTTCCCCGATTGTTTTGCCCTTTTTGTCTTCAGATTGAAGCTTGAGTGGTCAAAGCGAGGTGGAGGGCTGGGGCAGTGCAGCTTTCACTTGGCTCTGTGTTGGCCATCGGACCAGGGCGCGCGCCCAGGGGCATACTCTGGAGACGGGCTTCAATTTGGAGCACAGGCACTTCTTTGGGCCACTTCAGGGTCAACGAGGTTGACCTTGGGCTGCGTGAGCTTCAGATGGCGAAAGGCCTCACCTTCTTGCAAGTAATCGTGCAGGTGCGCGGCAATGAAAGGTCCTGGGACCGGGAGATGTGGCAGAGCTTCCGGAGAATGCGTCCACTTTGCGGACAGCTGCCGAGATGTTCCGTTCTTGGGAAACCTGGACGTCAC